GAACAGAGAGAGAGAGAGAGAGAGAGACAGACAGACAGACAGACAGACAGACAGACAGACGAACAGAAAGTGATTGTTGTGGGATGTTATAAAGAGTCAGACTCTGTAAGTGAGAGTGACTGTGAGTGAGAGTGACTGTGAGTGAGAGTGACTGTGAGTGGGAGTGACTGTGAGTGAGAGTGACTGAAAAAAAATGTGTAAAGATGTCTGTTTGAAAGAGAGAGAGAGAGAGAGAGAGAGAGAGAGAGAGAGCTGTGTGAGCCTGTGTGAGAGAGATAGCTGTGTGAGAGAGTGAGCGTTAAGACAAAAGGAAAGAAAGCTGTGAGGGAAAGATAGCTTTGAAAAAAAGAGAGCTGTGGGTATGCGAGAGCGAGAGAGAGAGAGAGAGGCGTGTGTGAGAGAGAGAGAGAGCGAGAGAAGAGACCTGTGAGGCAGTGATTGAGGAAAATGATGAGAGTGCAAGGACGAGTGAGCAAAAAAGTTTTCAAAAAGAGAGAAGTGAGTTGTAACATTTTGAGATAGTATTTTTGAAAGAGGGATGTGAAATTTTGAGACAGTGTTTTAAAAGAGAAATGTGACAATTTCAGACAGTGTTTTAAAAGAGAAGTATACTTTTTTAAGATAGTGTTTAAAGGGGAGAGATTGTTGGGAGAATGAACATGAAACAGATATGGTAGAGAAAAGCAGAGGAGGAGAGGTGTTCATTACAAAAGTGGCATGGCTTTACGAGACGGTAGGATGACTTAAACTTATTGAGTGAATAAGGGTCTGAAACCGAGCGCTTGGTGACCCAATGAGAGAGAGTGTTGCAAATTAAAGAAAGAGTTGAGTGACTTAATGAGTAGTTTATAAGGAGCCTTATCTAGAATTTTAAAATAAATCATTTAAAAAACGAAAAAAAAACAACACAAAAATCAAAGAGAGTTGCAACAAAACAATGAACTATTAATTAATACCACTGCTACATACACTACCGTACAGCAAGTATTCAGCAAAAATGACAGTTGTTGATGTGAGGAGGTCAGAGCTATGATTCCAAAATTGATACTCAACAACCCTTAAGTAGCCTATTGTGCATCTAAGAACCCAATTAGGCTAACGTCTGACGACTTTAGACCAGTTATTAAAAAATATTGTATATACCGGGTATCTCCATAAACACGAAGTGTAATAATAAATTTACTTTCGTGTGCCGTACAATCTATTGAATATCAATAAGGTACCGGTAAAACAAATTTATCTTTTCCAAAACGAAGCTTCATTCAAAGTGAGACTCAATGGGCTGATTTATGATTACAAGATTTAAATTTTTCCCCGAATGTTCATGAAATGAAAACCATTAACATGATTAACTCGAATATATTCTTTTATTTTACTATAATTATTAATGTGTATGTAAATGTGCCCTTATTGTAGAAGCTCCTTTTGTGGTAATTAGTTCAGCTACATCAGATGCCCCTTGCGATCAATCCATCTGGTGATCAGACATTTCTGTGATTGGCCACTGGTTCTCGCTTCCTTTGATGCATGTGCTTATTTTATAATGTGCTTAAGCCGACCCAGCAGACATTCGTCATTCCTATAGATGTCCAAATCATCCTGAGCCCCAACTAGTTTGATGAAAGGATTTACAGAGGCATGTCAAAGTAAAAATTTGAAAACAAAAAAAATCTTTAAGAACTTAATTTTTAAGAAATGCATTCCACTTCCTGGTTCGTGTATTGTTGAGCTCATGAGAGTTGCGTCAGTGCATGTGCTGTTATTAGTTATGGAGTGAGGTCAAAGGGCGTGTGATTTTACCAGAGGGGAAACAGTAAACGTTATCTGTATTGATCTGTTTTCGTTCTGTGCAAAATTTTCCGAGCGCTGCTAGCAGAATGATAGAAATCACAAAAAGAATCGAAGCGTGCTTACAAGGCATCTTCAATTCTTCAGTGGTCCTTACATCACGCCAAGAGTACGGCGAAGTCATTACTCTTTGGTCTCTATTCATTAATATTTGAAATAACTTGTCATCAAAGATTTTTCTGGATTTAACACAGGTTTATTTTTTTTTAAAAACCCTTTTATTAAAAGTATAATTAAAATTCAAGAAGAGCCCCATTGCTGGTTGTGAGACTCGCTATTTTTGAGTTCGGTAATTTCAGTCTAAGCTTGAACAGTCTAAGCTTGAAAGTGTTTAGCTCCTCGTCAGGGGCAGTCGTTACCAGGAGTCTGGATCCCATAGAATAATTTCTTTACAACAGCTTCTCCATGATTAGCTTACCCCTATTAAACATGTGCGATGCTCCCCATGGACAATCAATTATTTCTATAGTAGCAGTAGCCTATAGCATGGAACCTTTATTTTTAACTGTTTTTATTAAGTGTAGGCTTACCATTACCATGACATAAATATGTTCAAAGATAATGCGTGGAAGTTAATGTCAATTTCTAAATGAGTATCTTAACACCGTTATGTTTGTAACAAAGTTATGTTCGACTTATCTCGATGGTGAGACAGGAATGTTGACATTTTCCGAGGTACGCTTTATTAACAGTCCTTTCATTGCCACAGGATAGGTATACGTTGTCAATATCAGTAAGACCGTTCAATGAGAGATTTTACGGTAATTAAGTTCTAATTTAAGTTGAAGTTCAGGGACACTTTCTGGGAATCATTGCTAAACAGCATTACCGGTGTTAGGAAAATTTATAGAGCAATGACAATATTTCGACTCAGTCGCAACTGATAATTTCTATGATGCAACATAATATATGTTGTACAACATTTAGGCCTATACCTTAAGGTTGTTTTTATCTTTAAATTAGAACCTCTAGAGGTAAGCCGTTTGTTTACAGTTTGTGCTACATCGGCTTGATGGGCTACATAACAAGATTGTCTTGATGAAAACCCCCAAAGCATGGAGCACGAGAACTTCAGGCCATCAGGGTGATCAATGGGGCAGGGACAGGATTCTTTCGCCACGGTTGGAGTTCTTGGATAAAAATGTATCCTGCGATTGTGCGGTTGAATTAAGATGTGTATGAACCGTTTAGAGACTGCATGACTGAGAGTAGCTGTGTGGAGGGGCCAATCATCAATGTGTGATGATTGTATATTGAGTATATTTACTGTGCCATCAATGTGTGATGATTGCATATTGAGTAGCCTATATTTACTGTGCCATCAATGTGTGAGGATTGCACATTGAGTATATTTACTGTGCCATCAATGTGTGATGATTGTATGATATTAAGTACCGGTATATTTACTGTGTAGGCCCTACATGCCATTGTGTTTTCATAAATATTTTTTTTTAATGTTTGGGCAAGATTCTAAATAATCTTGCTAGACAGCGTTTGTGTAACAGTTACGGGGAAAGTACTAATAGTACTATCGTATAATCCTGTTGAATCGTACATTTGTGTGTATGGCACCCAATGCCAATAGACATGAATGAGTTGCAGGAGTAAGAGTGAATGTCTGCGTCATGAAGACCAAACTATTAAAAAAAAAGTGAAGAAGCCGCTTCCACAAAATGTATGCATTGGGAGGCATACATCACTTACCCGGGCAGTCAAGTCACATCACGTGGTTGCCACTAACAACTAGACAATGACTGACCTGTGACGTCAGCTATACACTTGCGTGCCTGGACTTCCTCAACTCCCCCCCCCCCCCAAACCTTATTTCAAACAACTATTTTTTTTTTACAACCTGTTTTAGAAAAAGTATGTTCAGGTTTTCAGGATGCTTTCAATGTTAATTTGTGTGTGCGTGCTTATCAAGATGCCCAGGCAGCTTACTCTTTATAAAATCAGTACCGGTAATCACCATATTATCAACACTAAGAGTTCGAGACATTGCTTAACAATTTGATTACAAAAAACACACTTCGGTCTATACTTTAAAAAAACGAAAAAATAGAATCCATTGACTCATCCATGCCAACATCAGAAGGATTGAGACTAAATTTTGTTTCTAAGCAAAACAAATCTTCATTTAGTCACAGACTGATTTTTAAACTAAACAAAACTTCATTTAGTCACAGACTGATTTTTAAACTAAACAAAACTTCATTTAGTCACAGGCTGATTTTTAAACTAAACAAAACTTCATTTAGTCACAGGCTGATTTTTAAACTAAACAAACTTCATTTAGTCACAGACTGATTTTTAAACAAAACTTCATTTAGTCACAGACTGATTTTTAAACTAAACAAAACTTCATTTAGTCACAGACTGATTTTTAAACTAAACAAAACTTCATTTAGTCACAGACTGATTTTTAAACTAAACAAAACTTCATTTAGTCACAGACTGATTTTTAAACTAAACAAAACTTCATTTAGTCACAGGCTGATTTTTAAACTAAACAAAACTTCATTTAGTCACAGACTGATGTTTAAACTAAACAAAAATTCATTTAGTCACAGACTGATTTTTAAACTAAACAAAACTTCATTTAGTCACAGACTGATTTTTAAACAAAACTTCATTTAGTCACAGACTGATTTTTAAACTAAACAAAACTTCATTTAGTCACAGACTGATTTTTAAACAAAACTTCATTTAGTCACAGGCTGATTTTTAAACTAAACAAAACTTCATTTAGTCACAGACTGATGTTTAAACTAAACAAAACTTCATTTAGTCACAGACTGATTTTTAAACTAAACAAAACTTCATTTAGTCACAGACTGATTTAATCATATTTTGTTAACATCATGTACTCTAAATAAACTGTCCAGGGCGGAATCATATTTTTTTAAAAGGCTCCCAATCATAAAAGCCCCTTTTCTCTTACACACACACACTCACTGTCAGAGGGTGATACTAGATACTGCAAGTTCCACTTTTTATGACAAACATAGGACAAGCAACATAATTAAATACAACTGACCACTTCTAGAAAAGAAAACCAAAAAAAAAAGGCAAAACATGACAGTTGTCATGAGCTCCACTGAAGTGACGTTCCAATCACTGCAAGGTCACAGAAAGTTAGAGCAGAAAACTGAGGTGGTGTGTGTGGGGGTTGGGGGGGGGGGAATTATTTGGAGAAAGTTCATTTTTGCTGAGGGACAGGGAATGAACTTTCTCACATTTGACCTAAATAACAGACAACTTATCAAAAGGACATCATCATTCACACAACTTATCAAAAGGACATCATCTTTCAGAGACTGAGCTGGAACATGCTAATTTTGTAGTACAGAACTGCAAACAGAATATTTCAAGATTAGGTTTGTGCCACCATTTTTAATCTCATGGTAAAACTTCAGTCAGAAATACTTTTAAGAAACACAACCCATTTAATGGATAAACCATTAGTGTTTTTTTTTTATGTGATGAAATATAAGAATGTAAGAAAAAAATTGATTAAATCAAAATTCCACTCTTAAAAATTCAAATTATTGAAACTTTGCAACAAGATCAAATGGGAAAGTTGATATTTGTTACATTTCAAGTCAGGTGATTAATTGATGAGATTTGAATTTCAGTTTTACTTCGACATGTATGTTTCATTTTCCAGGCAGAATGTGTGGCATCATCCTATTGGCTACATTACCTTACTTTTGTTTCTCTTATTAAAATCCAGCTCATAAAGTCCATTCATTTAATTCATAATTATCACATTTTTGTGTATCAGAAATGTACTCAAAATGCAAGTAATTATTCATGTCTGCATGGTCCGCCTCCTCTTCCAAGAAAAGTTGCCAATTTGGTTTAATATTGGCATGTGATGTGATCTTTCTTTCACTGAAAAATAAAACCCTTGCAGAAACTTTGATGAGTCAGTTTTTAAGATTTCTCTAGCCCCACAATAACAATAAGATTAGATCAGTGATCAGGATCATTATTTTTAAAAAACACACAAAAAAAAACCAACCTTTAACAGAAAGAATTAGGTAATGGTCGGTGTACCTGAAGATAAAGGTATGAGCTATGACCAATTAAGGATTTAAGGGAGGATTAAATATGTACACATTTAGTGGGTTGACATGGGTCAATTAAAAATGGCTAATTTCACCTCTTGGACCTTTAGTTAAATAGTGCTCCTTTAAACTTCTCTGATAAACAGTGCTACAGTGTACTCCTCAACTTAGAAGGGGTTCTCTGCTATGCTTCTTGACCATTAAACTTCACGACCAAAATTGCATTACAATTTTTACTATTAGGGCTCCATCCTAATTCCCAAGACCAAATCTATTGAGACGATAATTCTCCTTTTTTTCGTGGTGTAAACTGGCATTTACAAAACGGTACTTTTTTTTTTTCTTCCTGTGTAAACCATTATAGGGTATGCAGGATGCTTGCATCTTTGCAGCCTTGGGAGAAATATCTGCTTTAAAATACCATTGTCCAAGTCACATTAGAATCAGTCTGAAAGATCAGTACTCCCACCAGCCATAAACGCACAACAAAATCAAATAATCAGGTACATTATTATTATAGTATTATGGAACAAAAGGAGTTCGAATTTCATTTTGTATCAAGACCAGCAAAATCGAAAATAATAAATCATAATAATTTTCGAACAGCTGTTCCTTGCCGTCAGTAAGAAACTTCGATCAAATTGATATTCATAGTAAAATCTTCTGGCTTTGGTACGCTTGTTTTCAGACACTTCCACTTCCAATATATTCTTTAAAATATCTTTTAGTCACAAAATCTGCTTTGATTCAGCTACGGATACATGGGCCGCACTATTTCATGTGCTTAGTACCAGCACTGCAAGATAAACCAAACTATTGTATGAGCCAGAAGGAAGGAAATCAGATTTATAAAATGTTAATTGTCTTAAAGAAAATATCCGTTGCTTCGGCTTACGGTGGTCGTCTCACGGACCACGCGTTGAATATCCCATGGAAGTCCTCTCTTGTGGGAAATTTTCTCAAGTTGCCTTGAAAATATAAGTCCTTGAGATGTCCATTTTTTTTGTATGGCAGTTTGTGCCTGTTTCATTGGGAGCAGAGGGGGTCCATTCACTTGGAATTGGCAGAGTTCAATGTCTTATGTATTGCAACGGAGCTGTTGTCTCAACGTTTTCTATTGGACAGATGAAAAAATATTGTCTTTAGACAATACCAAAAAAGCTTTTACCAAGGCTGCAGAGTTTGGAACAAATTTTTTGTCTTTACGAGTTATGTTGGATTGCAGATAAAAACTGAATGACAAGTGACATGACAATTATTTTTTTTTTCAGTCTGTTCTAAACTGAAACCTGGATTCAGAAATCTTCAATTACCGTTTCATAAATGTTTGACTAACTTCTTGCAGCCCTGGTAGTACTGTTGGGATGATTTCAATGGGTGCTTCTATAAATTTTACATAGCATAACAGGTGCTTCTCTGACTTTATCATAGTATAATAAGTGCTTCATTGACTTTTACAAAGTATAATAACAAGTTCTTTCATTAAAGGGATCTAACTGTAAAATTCATGAGTAAACACCATGACCTCTTAGGAGTATGTGACCAACTATGACTAACCAGAGAAAAAAATTTGGAAATGCCCATTTATCTCCTCCACTAGGCCAATCAGAATGATACATTATGATACCATTATATTAGGATGATGGCCCCTTTGATCAAGACAATGTATAAAACTGACAAAGTTTCAGCACCATCTGAATTCATCTATCATAAAATTGAAATACTCTCAAAGCAGGGCCTTCTACTAGATGTCAATCTGTTCCCTTACATTTTATTGATTGAAAATTTTTAACATTTTATTTACATCACTTTGAATAAATTTTATTTAGGCAGATATTTGACCCCAAAAACAATATCTGTAAAATGTCATGAAAGAGTTGCGGGTACTGTATTATCTTTATTGACAAAATTCTATTTGGGAGCAGCCTCCTTTCATTGAATGCCCCACTGAATAACTTGGCTCTTACAAGGTAAAGGATTGAGACAGCTAGGAGAGACAGATTGTAGCCACGGATGGTGGATGCAAATGGTGAATAGATTGTGAGGCAAGATGGAAAAAAAATGAAGGGGGACAACTGAAATAACACCAACACAACAATAAAAAACCAAAAAAAAGTCCATTAAAACTGAATGTATTCATTTCAAGCAGGTCATGGCAGGGGTGATCACAAAGTCCAAGTTCAAGAGTATTCTGTACATAAAAGAAAACAATGGCTTACATATACACCAATTATTCTCACTTGTTTCCAAATATAAGATCTGCATCTGGGGCCCCCTTAGGATGTTGGTACTTGACCTTCCTCTCTCTGTTGACATTGTTGGTGGCGGGACGGTTGATGCTCGCCATAACTTCTGGTAAAAAAAAGAATATCACAGAACCATCAGCACTTGAATAGCTCTTGGCCAGAATTTTGATGACAAAACGTTTTAGGAAAACAAGGGCCAGAACTTTGTGCATGTATAATTTCTCTTTTCAAAAACTAAGTTTTTGTTTTTCAGGCCAACAATTTTTGCTCTGCTTCCTTCATATTACAACTCTGTATGATTAAACATTGCTGAAGATGAAGTTTCCTATGATGTATGTGTAAAGCTTGACTCCAACAAAGCCCAGACAGACGATGGAGACCACTGACCTTGATACTCTTCCTCCTCTTGCCTCTCATGGAAGTTAAGCACCATCTGTTTCATCTTTTCTTTTTCTAGCCTTTCAGCCTGAAGTTCAAGGATGTTAAGTAATATAGCAACATTCTTACATGGTATTATGTGTTTGTCATATCTTACAAAGGATTATTTATCACTAATATGCAACATGGGATTTTTTTTTAGCAATACCTCCAACATATGTAATACCATCTCATTTACAGGGTTATGTAATAGACATAACTTAAATGGAATTGTGTGGTAGCTATATTTTACATGTATGTATTAGCTTTATATAATTTAAGATATCGGTTTTATTAACCCTTTGAGCCATTGGCTCTGGTCCTGACATAGCCATCCCCTGGGCATCTGGGGAAAATTTACACAGACACACAAGCAAACAAAATTCCACGAGTCTGTAAATTTTATTTCTTTCTATCTAAATTTGGGCGCCCATTACGGTTATAAAATTTATCAATTGCTTTAGAATTGGTGCGGCGCAACAAAGGAGACAATCCTTTCATGCTCCTAATTTTCATAAAAGCCAGGGCTGGGACTAGGGATAAGACCATGTTGTTTGTTTATTTCCAAAAGCACAAATAGTATCACTAGCAATAGTTGAAGTCAATCCAATATTACAAATGTCTTTTTGCTATTATTATAAATCTTTCCTAAAACTAGATCAAAATAATTTGAAATCATTTACATTATCATCAAACTGCTCTCGTTTTAGTCAATCTAAGTTAAGGTACAGGACAGCCAAATATTGGTCTGGCAGAGTTTATGGATTTTTTACACACACACTGATAAAGCTGAATAAGGGGTTCTAAGGGTTATCAATTGAAAAAATATTTTGAATCCACTAATAGTAGAAAATGTAAGTTTATCAAATAAGATGAAGCTTCGAATAATTTTTTTAAACTATCAATATCTTTTTTAAGTGGCTTGTATTGAAAAAATCCATTAGAATAAATCTGTTTACAATTTTTTAATTTTTAAAACAGATTTGTTTCAGTTTCCATGAAGTGCCATTCTGTGTGATGAGTGCTTTGAAATTAAAGCCCCTGACCATTTCTTAAATCTAGATCATATAACATATGGCAATTTGCACCACAAAACATCAGTCATACTGATATTAATATTATGCTCTTCTAGTTTACAGGGCTGAAACTTTTTGTGTGTGATAAGCCATTTTTATAAATTATATTTATATCTGCTGGGAAAATATTTTGGGAGCCCATGTCAGTATAGAGACACAGATAAGTAAAAAAAACGGTTTTACAAAATAAATAACTAAATAATATATATACATTTTTTCATTAAAAAAAAATACTAGATCTTTTCAGAGCCTTGGGTTGCTGACAACTTCTCTAGTTCAATTCTCCCGCAAAGTTTTCCAAGCAACATGTTACATTAATTATTTCCTTCAAATGAGTTGGCTGGATCTTTACTTCATGAAAAATTGATGCCATTTTTTACTATGGGCCTTGGTAGACATTCAACCACTGGTAAAAAACACATATTGCACAGTTAATTGCACTGGTGTTATGGCCTTGGTAGACATTCAACCACTAGCAACAACACATATTGCACAGTTAATTGCACTGGTGTTACTAGTGATGTGACTTTTCTTAGGTAAAAACAGGATTCGCATAAAAATTCCTAATCATCTATTACAGAATATGCTGGACTTACTTCTTCCCTTTCCTTGAATTTGGTAGCGAATTCAGCAGTCATTGGAATTTCAAAGTCAGTCAGCTGTCAGGTACATTGAACATTATGTTAACAAATGTTGCATTGGTTTGATGGTTTTTGAAACAGATACAATTTTATGATTCCTAAAACAAAATTTCAATGCTGTCAATACACAGGCAACCTTGCAACCTTGAGTAAAAAAACAGTTTTTATACTGATAAATCAATGGATTAATTTATACCATCTAAAAACTAAGGCGTCTATACTCTGCACCCTCAAGTCCTCATATTCTGGTGTAATAAACCCCATTCATTTCTGACCTGCTGCTTATTTCCTCTCCTTGTCATCAGAACAAATTTTAAACCAGAAGATCCTTCTTTATCCTCTTCCTCCTTCTCTGCAAGACTTTGACCTGAATTTAACAATAAAATATTCGAACTTAGATTTGACTTCAGAAACTTTTACTTCTCTACTGAAATATAATGCTACTTATACTCAAAATTAATAAAAATAGAAAGATAGAAATGCGTTTAAAGTTTAAAAATGTACATTTTAATAATTAATCTGTGTTGTACTGTCTAAAGACAAACAAACCTGGAATAAGGTTGCTGGTGACTTTCTTTTTACTTTTGAGTTGAGTGGGCAGGGCAATGTCCAGCTGGGGCACCTTGAGGGCTTCTTGAGTTCGAGCCTGAAATGTTATTAAAAAAATATGCTGCTGAAGGGTTATCAAATGAGCAATCTCAGCTTTATGACCATAAAGTTATGTGAGATACAACACATGAGTGGTCTCCAAAAAGGGAATGAGAAAACAGTGAGAGTACAAGGAGATGTGAAAGATACTCTACATTCAACTAATGTATACGCCCATAGCATAAAAGAATAGCTCATCTCTTCAGGCTGACATGCACTTGTTGCAAAAGTTAATGGATGATGTACAACAATAAGTTTGGAAGTTAAATAACTTTCTGGTGGGGAAAAAAAAATGAAAATTTAAGGAAAGCACCTGTATGGTGTCATTCATCATCTGGTCTAGGGCTGCCATGAAATCTTCATCTTCTCTACACAGTGCAGTCTTGGGTTTGACAACCTTGACCTACAGGAATAACAACAGACCAAACTTGCCAATCAGAAAATGATAAATTAACAAGTTGGATTGTTACAATGACATTTAATTTAAAAACAAAAATAAATTAAATAAATGAGAAAATTAAATTCCCTTTGAATCAATGATAATGATTAAATATCGTTACCATCTGTTAACTTGTAACTGTATTACAAGCAAGACTTTTTTTATGTACAATTTTTTTTTTTTTACAACAAAGCCATTAGGATAACTTACTTCTTCATCCCCCTCTTCTACATCAGAGTCATCATACTCATCACTGGATGAGCTTTCATCTTCTCCCTCACCCTCACGCTCCTGAAAAACACAATTGCAAATGTATACAACTGCAAGAACCTCTCATTATTTTGGTATCTGCATTTCAGAAAGTTTGGACTTGGAAACAAACGCTCAGTGAAAAATAAATGCACAGACCTGTTTACTCTTACGATTTTGGTGTATAATGTACGATTTTGAGGTGTGTACATTATATATACTGTATGTTTATTTTTTTACTATTAATGTAATGTATTGAACGATTTTGTGATGATATTGTATGATTTTAAGAGTTTGGGGGTAAACAGGTCTGAATGCATAGACATTTGATGGGAAAATGATCGATTATCTTACATCTGCATCTGCTCCACTCAAACTTGTTTCGCTATCCTGAGTTCCAGAACCTTCTGTCACACCACCGGATAGAGTGAGGTCATCCTCTAGCTCTTCTCCCTCCAGAATGGTGGACAAACCATCCTCCTCTTCATCTTCATCCATCCCCTCTCCACCTTCTTCCCCAGTTTCAATGATTGACAGAACACTTGCTGTAGGAGAAAGATAGCACAAAGTTAAAATATGAAGCGTTGTACAAATAGCCTTCTAGGCCTAACCAGTCTCAGCGTACATATGTTCTAGCAATTAGCTATGCCTACCACTCTTAGTATACATAAGTTCAAGTAACTAGTTATGCCTACCAATCTTAGCATACACATGTTCAAGCAAATGGCTAAGTTAACTAACTATACCAATTTAAGCACACATATGTTCAAGCAAATAGCTATGCTAACTAACTATATCAATCTTAGCATAAATATGTTCTAGCAACCAGTTATGCCTACCAATCTTAGCTCACATATGTGCAAACAAATAGCTATGCCAACTATGCCTACCAATCTTAGCTCACATATGTTCAAACAAATAGCTATGCCAACTATGCCTACCAATCTTAGCTCTGTATTCAGCCTCCAGTTTCTCAGCAGCCTCACAAGCCTCTTGGTAAGACTTGTACTGCTGTAATCGTGGCCTGACAATTTCTATTGTTTCATTCATCAGGTTTTCTATGTCAATGGGGAATGGATGGAGTGCATCAAACACTGGATGACTTTTCTTGAACCAGTAGTAACGCTGAAAGTGCCAGGATAACAAATCAAATTGTTACAACCAACAAAAGAATATTTTGACAACGATTGTGTCCCCCTTTCTTGTTACAGCTGACCAAGGCTGAAAATTAAAATTTTTTAAAAAATTTAAAAATTCACAATTAGAATTAGTGAAACCCACCGCAAGTAACGCTAACACTGTTCTCGTAACTAACAAATGAGGATTTGAATAATTTCAATTTTTTTTTAATGTATAGAAACCCAGGAGCAATGTCTCATGCTTTTATATTTCATTTATTTAATGGTAATTAAGAAATAACTCATCCATTTACTGAAAGCATTGACTTTTTACATTTTTCTTTACAAACCTGTGCTGCCATCAATGAAACATGTCCATTGATGTATAAATAAATGTGGATTATTTCCTAACCTGGAAATAGATGAGATAGCAGTCCAGTTTTTTCTTGCTTGAACCCTTGTCAAAGAACTGACCACAAGTTTCCAAGATAACACATACAAGGCGAATACGAAACAAATGTTCAGGAGGATCCAACGGGTTGACAACGTTCTCTGTGAAATAAATAAGTATAACAAGTGTACACAAGTGACAAGTAACAAAAATAAGTATAGGCCTAACAAGTATACAAAAATAACTTTACCTAAGACAAAACTGATTATCTTTTTTAATTTATTTTATATAAAATGTTCGTTGAGTTGAATGGCTCCCAGCAAACCCAGTCCATCACGTAGGACACAAAATAATTGTAATTGTAAAATACAATGTCTGGAAGGCTGATATAGGAAAAGATTTTCCAGAAATATGCAGATTTTTTCATATTTAATTCACCAAGCCAAAAATGAATCAGGCTAGAAGAGATGTCAGTTCATGAGTTAGAAAAATTAGACAAGTCATTGAAACCATTGATTTCAGAGCAACAGCTTTAACAGATATTTTTCTGTATGGTAAGGATGAATTATAATTTAAAACAAAAGTAAACATACCATCCCAAGATACTCCAAAAGTAATGAGAGAGTAAAGCACCTTAAAGATGACTGATGACTCGACCATTCGATAGTTGTAGAGTTCTCCCAGGTACTTAACACAGCTCACACGGCGCTGGTTGTACTTGGGCAGGTTTATCTGAGATATGCATGACACATTCAGATTTTTTATTGCAATGTCAAAGCTACACTAACATTTCTTGTACCAGTACTAGAGCCTTTTATACTTACAGGGGAGCATACAATAACTATCAGTAAAAAGAAATTCAGTGACGGTACATCACCTAGTTCCAAAAATGTTCAATTTACCTCCATCCCAAGACGGATGTCTTCCAGAACTCCATCAACAACTTGGATGGCTACATGTTCCTATAGCCATAGAAAGTTGACAATAAATTAGATTACTTAGACACAAACAATTCTTATACATAAAACAACACAAATTCAGCTTTAATAATGATCATTCAGAATGCAAATGTAGAAGTTTAGGAGAATGCCTTTATCAGTGCAAAAAAACATTCATATAAGTAATTAACATGTATCCTACCTAAAAATTTAAGAAAAGAATAAGAGTGGGTGCAGGTTCCTAACAAAAACAAAGTTCAGAAAAAAGGAAGCAGGGTGAATTAAAATTTAAAAACTTAACAGGAATAAGACACTGCAGCTAAGTAAAACTGTAAATTTGTTTTACACCATGTGGAGTTGGCATACCAAATCTTGTTCTTAATTTTCCATGTAAATTCTATCTGGTGTATTACTTGCATACAATATGACAGTAACTGCAATGTCTAAAATTCCATTATGGTAGCACTATTGAAATGTTTGGAAACTGGACAAAGGGCTTGTTTATTTATGTCACGCAGGTGTTCTCTAAAATGGTCTACAAGGCAACAACCTGTCTCTCCTACATATGATTTACAGCCCTTTTCACAAAGGATGGTGTAAATCATGTTGCGACTTGTGCAAATAGAGCCATTTTTTATTTTGAATATTTCCAGTGGGAAAGTGATCTTCTCAACTTCAATCACATTGGGATAAGTGTTACAGCAGCTACAGTTGCAACTTTTGGTGCCTCTATGTGCTTTAATAACAGGGAGGTGGCTTCAAACAAGCATGTCCCTAAGGCTCTTGTCCCTCCGGAAAGCAAAAAGAGGAGGTTTTTTGACAATAAACTAGCTTAAATAAACAGTTAAATATTTAGTTTATATAAAATTTATCAAGGGTTCTAATTGAATCTAATTTCAATGAGATAAAGAAAAATACAATGTTGAATTAGTTCTTATGGTGATGCTGTAACCCTTTAATCATGCAAGTCCTTTGTTTTTTTAGTGCATTTTTTTTCTTCTATTTTTTTAAAGATCTAGACTTCCCCATGGTTCTATAAAAAAAATAATTAATATAGTTGTATTGGAAAACACATTTCTGTCACCTGATCTAACCAAATTTTATTTAACTTGAGTAAAAAGTTAGGTTTTTTTTGTGTGTGTTGCCTTTAGAGAGTTACAGTGACAACAATTAAATTGTAAATATTTTAGAAAGGTCAGCGAAGTTTTTAAAAAGAAAATATGGCTATACTGCTTTAGGAATTTTACTATTGTCAGATAACAAATGATAACCCTTACTGTTTCACAAGAAAATTAACTGAATACTAAATATTTGGTACATGCCACCAACAAAATACATCTAGTCATCGCAATAAAATTTACATCAACACTTCCATGACAGCTGAGCAGAGAGAGATGCATCCATAAGTATTCTCTAGCATAAAACTCAAATAAATTATTTGGTGAACATGCTGCGGGTCAGAAATTTAATTTCTACTAATAATGTATAATTCCCCCAAAAATGCACACACAAAAAAACAAGATAAAGACACACAAAAATTTGAAAAAAAAATGAAGGTCAAAGTAGTAACAAATGATTCAAGTAGACTGCAGCGCTATCAATATTAAAAATTTCAGGTACAAATCTAAGCTATAGATAATATGTTATGTACGTTGGCAATAAAAAAAATAAAACTTACATGGAATGGTGCGACACCTGCCAACAAGTTAGCTGCACAATGCACTGAGTTGTAACGAATATTCCAAACACTGGTCAAACACTTTGTTGCATAAAATGCAATCTGCGATATGTAAACAAACAAATTGTAAAAACTCACATTTTTTTTTTATTTATTAATTGCATTACTTCTTTTATTGTTGATTATATTTTGTAACTTCCCAATAATCTCATAAAATCTTATTTTAAAATGGCTTCTTTCTTAATGTTACAAGTGATACATTTGTTTCCTAAACTTTCAAAAACCTAGTTTTACCAAGCAACAGGCAACATTTAAATTTCTAAAAAAGAAAATTGAGAATTTTTTTTGGTTTTAAAATGTCTAAAAACAAACCTCAGGATCCTCCCATTTCAGCTTCCTCATTTGTCTAAGCACCTGGATAAACAAGAAAATATTGATCTCTTTCCTTTTTTTTTAAATAATTATTTTCATAATAAAACTTCTGGCATAATTGGGCACATCCTGTGACAAAAGTTAATATTTTTTTCATACATCCACTTTATTTTTCTCCAATAAATAATAATAATCAATATTTATTTAACATATTTAAGTTTTAAGTCTCAATTTTCACAAACTCTCTTAGCTTGATAACTTTTTGTATAAGGAAACAGGTAAATAAATTTTTTTTTTTTTAAATATTCTAATTTAAAAACTGGCTTAAAAACAACTTATCAACCGTTCTTACTTTCTCTACTGTAACTTTGGACAAATCCTTGTACAGTAGCTTGCGGATGTACTCATGCATGGGTGGTCTCTCTTTGCGAATCACAGCTTGGACCTCAGGAGGATTGCTGTAGTAGAAGGCATTCTCTATCATTGATTCATACCTGGACTCCAACTTCATGGCTGATTTTTTACGCATCATCACTTCCTGTAAACCAAGAAAATTTATTAGTGTATATTTCAACTTGTTTTAGCTAAGCCAATGAAAATGTGAGAACATCTTTATTTAAAACTAATTTATCTTTTGAATTGTAGAATATTTTCACTCTTGTCAAGATTTGTTTTTCATTGCTAGTCATTAACAGATGATACTTAATTTTACAAGATATAATAAAAACTCACCAGGTATATCTTGGTACGGTAATGGGAATCTGGTGATCTATAGAGGAAACGCCCACAGGTCTCCAACAGGGCACAGGTCATTTCAATGTTATGATGTCGAAAGTCAAACATAAGCATCTAAAGAAAAAACATTAACATATACGATTATATAATTTTCAATCATATCTAACACAATTTTTAAGACAAGGTATAATCATTATAAAAAGAACAAGGATAGAACAAATCAATAAATTTTATCATTTAAAAATGACAACTTTACAAAAATCCTGTAATTTTTTTTTTACGTAGTTTTAATTTAATAAACAAATAAAAGATCAAATTATTAACAATTTTATAATAATAAAAATTTGAATTATTGCTTAATCTAAAATTGAAGTAGTATCTGATAATACCTGAAGTTTAATAAAAATGTTAAAAAGATTTGGGCACACACCTTCAAACATTGAAGAGCTTCTATTTTTGGGCAGACCTTGAACTTGACGAGTTCACCTAAGAGTAACAAGAACTATACAGATGAAGAAGTCAGCTGAGCACTGGATACAATTTTACAGTAACTCTTGGTACATCAAAATAACATGCCTCACAATGTAAGGGTCTAAGAAAGTTATACTGTTGGTAAAATTTAACAGTTTTCAAAAACAGGGTTTTATAATATTGAATTTTTGGAATGAGGGAAAATAGACTTCTAAAAATTGAAACATGGCAAATTATTACAACTGCTGTAATAAATTTAAAATAAACAATGCATTAAAATTAGAACCTATTAAAAAGTTTCAGAAGGCACTTTGACTTAACATGAATTGCGCATGTAGATACCCCTTAACTTTCAACTTTACATACAACTAATAAATGCTAACTTGAAGGGTCTTTGCCATCTTTTTTAAATTGATAAATAAATAGATTTTTTTAAATTCTCACTTTAAAATTTGATAATAAAACTCACCAATAAATCTAACAATCTTGAGCTTTGATTCAATATTTATTTGATCCTTTTTCCTAACCTGAAAAGATGGAGAGAGTGAAACTAATACAAGAATAATAGAATCAATTTCTGCAGATGGCTTGAAAGAATCAGAGCAGTTTTTGCATAATTAAGTAGGATAGTAATAAATGGCAGAATAAAAATTTGTAAAAAATTAAATTTAAAATATCTTACATGCCATTTGAAGTCTGCTTTGAGAGCTTGAACAAGGTCACTGGCAAGTTCTGGCATACAGGGCTCCAAAATGGCTACCAGCCGTGAGTAGAAGGGCAAGAGATCGTACCTACAGATCAGTAATCATAGGTATGAAACAAAACACAGAAAGAGAAACTATTATAACACAAGTAGCTTGTCACAAATAAATAAAACTTTCATTGTGTCTGCACTTTCATGGTCACAAATTGATGACACACCATTCATTATGTCTGCACTTACCTTATCACAAATAGATGACAGATCATTCATTATGTATGCACTTACCTTGTCACAAATATCAAAGACACATCATTAATTATGTCTGCACTTACCTTGTCACAAATTGATGACACATCATTCATTATGTCATCACTTACCTTGTCCTATGGACTGAAAGGAGGGCTTTCACCAACTTTTTACGATTGGATTTTGTGTTAAAGTTCATACAGAATTCTGTTGCAGCCTGTAAAGAAACATACAAATATTGCAACTCTTTAGGTCCCTAAAATTCAAAGAAAGCATAAATTATGTGGTTTTTTTTGTAAGTTCATCAAAATAGAAAATGGGTATTAACACTTATAAACACATTGTTATTACTATCTCAACATGAGATTTTTTTTAAAAATTCTGCCCTAGTTATCAATAAGTTAGTTTTACAATATATAATACAACGCTCACATTATCTATCATATCCCTGTTGACAGAGTTGGGAAGTGAAGCCAGGAAGGATTCAAACTGGACTCTCATTAGTGTTCCAGTTTCTGTGTCATCTTCTATTTTTATTAAAACAAAAAGATGGTATCATTCAACAAAAGCAATAGATAACATTACATCATTCCATAAAAAAAAATAGCAAAATTTGTTTTAAATTCTTTTAGTGTCCATCAATATAAACAGATATGAAAATTGAGTAACAAAATATTTCTGTACCTTCTGCCTCTGGAATAGTAAATCTCTCTTCCTCAGCTTCTGCCACTGCATCCCTCCCAGCTTCTTGTCTCTCAGCCTCTTTCATGTTCTCCTCTATCTGTTCTGTCTCAAGCTCTTTTTCAATATCATCTACTGCAAGTTGGTCCATTTCTGGGAGTGAAAACAAAATAAGTTGCATTTTGGATTCTGTTGAATGGCAATAAAATATAAAAGATTGGTATATTTTACCTAGCTTGAAAGTACAACTGTAACAGTCAGACCAAACAATGTAATGGCTTTTCCAGATCACCAATGGAGTCTTTGGTAAAAAAATAGGTTTAGTATCACGGATGCAGATAATAAGTTGCATTAACATTTCTCTATGGGAATATGACTTACCCTCCTCTAAACCTGTGTCAGCATTTTTGAGAGCATCTTTAGTGCTGATATTTTCACTGTCTCTGTACAAGATCTGATATGAATTTAGGAACTAAATGACAACAATTGATGTCAAAACTTTAGGTAATACATATCACACAATTTTATGCAGAGCTTTTTTGGTTTCCTAGTTAAGTTTTGTTTAATTATGAATTTAAAAATTAGTTCACACAAAAGAAATTCTTTCTCAACTAAAATAAATTCAAGAAAATAAATATAAACTTAGAGGTAAAAGTCTTACACTTGGGATGAAGGCTCTAAGGTCTGGAAGTGTCTCATAGAAAGACCTAGTGTCTTCATCTTCAAAAAGTGTTTTATCCCCATCATACTGAAACTGAGAAGCAAGCTTTCAATAACAAATATATCTTGTCAACTCAGAGGTAATTGTATGATTTGAAATGATTTAATGTATAAATCACCCAGAATGAAAGATGATATTATGTTATATAATAATAATAGTAACCTCAACATATAAAATCTAAGTGTAAAAGATGCACCTTTAAAAAGCCTGTATTTGTTTATCTCAATATTGCTTACCTCCAAATCTTTCAAGGGATTAAAAATATCCAGGACACCATTTCCATCATCTGTATATTCTGTTTAAAAAGTAAGTTACACATTTTTCCTTACATGTTTCTGTTTCTATTATGCTATTTACATGACATTAGAGATTTCTTGTCAATAATTTAATCATACATTTTTCAAGCACAAGTATACTTGTTTTTTTCCTATACCTCTTAAATGGACTTTAAAAAATTATTTTTAGTAATGATTTTTTTATTTTTTTTAAATCCAAAATTTGTTCAGCAAAAGCATTTCCATTAGCTCTTCATGTAAGGTAATTATTTAACAGTTATCTAAAAACTTGCCTTCTTGTGGAAACTCTGGAAAGTCTTCATCAAGTAAGTCCTATAGGAGTGGTGTTTTTAACAATGAATTACAGATGTATGACGCTGGGTATTCATTTTTTTAAAAATAGAAATTATTTTAACAAATAGTATTTCTAAATGTCACATTCTTTAAGAACACCATTGGGCTAATTTTTTATTTTATTCGCAGACAATAAAATGTACATGAGCAAGAAACTAAATTTATTTATAGCACACAGATGATACCTGATAGGAAGTTAAAATTAGAACCAATGCAATGAAGGAATTATATACATCTAAGATTAATTTTATAAAAACAATAGATTAATGACTAAAAATGAAAATAAAAAATGATGAAATATTGAATGCACAGTAAATAAAAAGCTGTGTTCATTGTGATGGTGGCTCCCATGTTAATACAAGAATGTTTCATACTTACAGCTAAGACAGTGGCACTTGAGGAGAGTTTCTGGAAAGCAGCAAAGGCGGCTTCATAAGCCTCTTTCCGGTCACTGGAGATTTCACCTTTAGACTAGACATAAAATAGTAGGACTTGAAATTTCAATTTTAGATAAAGTATAATATAATTAAAAATTATAGGTGAAAAACATAAAATTAATATAACTATAGTATATAAAAAGAATTATCTACTAAAATGTTGAATTTCATAAAATCTAGGATGAAAAAAATTGGTTATATTAAATATTTTATATAAAGCTAATAATTTGATTTTCTTCTTGCAACTTAATTTAACTTACTAATGGATAAATAAATAATTTACATAATATTTTGTTCATGAGCTCAAATGTTTGCAGAAATGTTTTTAATGACGTAATCAATGTTTCTTACCTGCATTATTTTTCTGTTGTGTCGTTCCATTGACTTGAGCTCTTTGTGTGAATTGGTTACATGTTTTACCAAAGATGAGTAATAATCTTTCAAGAGATTTCGACAGCCCTTTTGTCTGTCTGGTGGTAGGAACTGTAAGTAGATTATTGAGATTATTATTGTATTTATCAATTTAAATGTATTACTATGATTCATATGTAATTCACATCAAATTACTAAAACTAGCACTTGCACGTGCATAAAATAAATAAATAGCTATTTGTGACTTCCAAATGCTATTAGACTGGGATTATTAAATAAACTAGGCTATTTTTTTTTTAATTCTTCATTAACAACATAATTTGTCCAATGCTTTTTAAATACCTGACTTTTAGCTATCTCCATGTTGTATTTCTCTGACAAAAGTCTGAAAACAAATTAGTTATTTAAAATATTTTAAACATTTAAAAAAAATATATATATATAAAAGACTATACACTTATATTCCTTTAAATGCTCAACTTGCTAATAAAGTTTACATATTTAGAGATACATGTTTTAAGCTTTTAATCTTTTATTAGTATATATTTTCATATATCACTATTACTATTCCTATTTTTTTTAAAGAAAGACTGTAATTCTATTTTATTCTGAAACTATTTTAATTTACTATTGAATATCCCAAACCAGAACAAAAATGAGCATCAATTTAACAATAAAAGTAAAAAATAATCTAAATATTTCTTGTAAACATTCCATACTGTAATAACTCAGTAAAAATCCATAGTTATTATAGATAATTGGAGCTAAATGAAATAAAAACAAGATATGAATGAACTACAGCTATGAAATTGTTTTTCATGTAAAAAGGCAGTTTACGCCTCTATTTTCTGTTACGTGTTACTAAATGTTTAAAAGCTAGAAATGAGAGTTTTCTCCTAGGGTACATTCTTCTTCTTCTATATCTTAAGGGCCCACGATCAATTTATTGATCATTTTGGCTCCTATGCATGTAGATGGGATTTGCAATGCTTCTGTTACTGGTGTTGAATGTTTCGCTATTTTGCAGGATTTTTACTGTATACAATAAACATATTTTTATATATTTATTACTTTAAGTGTCTGAGAGCATGCAAAATGTTTATAAGGATGTTGGAAATATAAGCAAAATTGTGGGAAGGTTTATAAGTGTGTGTGAAGGGTGTATTAAGCTTTAAGATATACAGAAATCCTAAAACAGGATTTTGCAGGGTGTATCAGAATGCAGCTCTTCCAATAATCCAGGTATTACCATATATTAAACAAACGATTACAACAAAATCAGTTCTCACCGAAACCTGCGAGGCACAATTCCTGTGTAATCATCACCGCAGTGTTTACAAAAACTTGTAATAATGGGAAGATAATTATGCTCATCTCTGTCACTGTTAACTAAAATTGAAAGCTGGTTAGCCAGAATAGGCAAACCCTCCTTAGCAGTAAAAACTCCATGTGCTATGAGTTCACCAAGAAATCTCAGATCCACTCTGTATTTACTGGCGTTACTTATCTGGTGAAGTAATCACATTTGTCATTTTGGATTAATTTCTTTAAATTACCTTTTTAAGAGTATGTTGTATTTCTGGAAGAATTCCGGCTCTTTTAATTTCAATTTAAAACGTAACCAAAAAAGTTTGACCATCAAAATATTCTGATACGTAAATAGTTATTTTAAAATGTTAATAATTTGAAATGGGGTAAGAACAAAATAGAAGAAAATCATAAATTGTTTTGTTTTTATCTTTAGAAACAATGTTTTTAAAAAATCAATTTACTATAGAAATCGCCATCGTTTAAAATAAACCTACTTTTTCATCTTTCTTTGATAAAAGATATTTATTGAAAACTTCAATGAGGGAGTGACTAAAGTCAGCATATCTCTTGTGCAGCAGACTACAGATATGGATAGCACATGGCACATCAGACATTTTCAGTTTGGCGTCAATGATAGCACCAGCCTGTTAAAAGTATGTTCCGTTTAAAACTTAATAAACAATGCAAATATTGGCAAATAAATTATCTAAAACTATTCATTTAAACATTACATATTGCAAGGAATAGTATAAATTATAATAAGAATGTATTAATTTTATAGTTAATTATACCTCATTGTTCTTTTTAGACATGATTACATTCTAACTAGTTTCAATAACCAAACAATAAATCTTCATACCACTTCTTCTATGTATTTAGTTAGATTTAATCCAAGAAATTCTTTACTCAGAGCATCTTTCTGGGAATCTGTCAAATTTCTCTGAGAAAAACAGTTTGAAAAAATACATGAAGTAAAAGAAATAATTTATAAATTATCAACCCTACCTAATTTAAAACTGCTCAAACTACAACCTGAATTAAATTTATTCAATCTTGTAACATTAGATCACAATTAATGTTTCTTTAAAAAGTCAAGTAGCAAAACTAATAAAAGTACTTAATAACAAGTGTTAAGGAAAACAAGACTCACAAGTTTTCTTATGAAAGCTGTGTTTTTCTTTAAATTTGAATCTAGTTTGGTAAAGAAGGACTCATCGGGTCTGTTTTCTGAGAGAGAAGGCAATTATTCTTAATGTAAATATTATTGAAATAGAACCTCTCATAATTAAATCAGTTAAGTGGTAGATCCAATCATAGATGCTTTAACTGATGGACTACCAACGCCCCCTTTTTTTGTTTTGATGACACAAGTAAAAGATGCTGTGCTAGTTTAGTTTGGTATTCTACTGTAACAAGATGTGCAACCTGGGTATCCATATAATTCATAACAACAGAGCATTTTAGATTACAAAAGAGCAGTGCATTAAAAAAAAAAAAAAAAAAAAAAAAGTCATTTGGGTGAATCTGAATAAGAACTCCAAATTTATTTACGATGGTGTAGACAAAGCAGTGGCATAGTAAGCAGTAAGCAGTCCTATTTTTATACGTTCTCTGGCGTGACATAAACAAAAACTAGGAACTAATTTGATTTTGCATGCCATAAACTTATTTTTTGTCAATTTAACGACTTTACTTTTTTAAAAACTACAAGAAAAGAAATACAATATTTACCAGGAGCTGTCAGGTTGACACTTCTTGCCTCAGTTTTGGCAGCATTCCTTTCAGTTGTTTCACCAATGTAATCTTGAAGTGCTTGCTAGAAATGTTGTTCACCAATATTGGACACATTTAGAATATGTCATAAAATCTCTTAAGTAATGTATGTGTAAAATCAAATGTTTAGGAGCAAATAACAATAAACTTTTAACAAATTTTATAAGAACTCTCCAGATGGTCTCTAAATTTGTATTACCCCCTGGTTTCAATGAGATAAAAGTTCAGCAATTTTAAATAGTTGAGATTATTTAATCCTACCATTTCTTCATTTTTAATTCTTTCTGCTTCTTCCAGCGCTTTCCTCTGTACAAAATAAAAGCAATAAACAATCAGAGTTTTATTTTATTTTGTAACAATGTTTAAAAAATAAAGTCCATGTATATTTTACAACAAACTTCATAAGCTATACAAACTCTCATTCATCAATTCAATACCAATATTTATATTCTTTCACTTCCTGTAATCCTACTTCTGGCAACAACAAAGTTTTTTTTACTGTCCTCTGTTTCTTGCCATATTTTGATTTGTCCTGTTCGCTGAAGAAGACTCTAAGCTGAAATGTTCACATCTTATTGTCCAATCTTTTGATTCAAGCATCAACATACCTTTGTACTCTTTTTCTTTCTAAGATTAAGATTAATATAACTTTGGCTTACAAGGTGGTCAGGCAAATAAAGAATCATACCATAAGAATCAGTAAAAGAACCAACACAGCAGGTATATCTAACTCATTACAGCTACTGAGCGATTTATTTATTTTGCCAAAGATCACATATTTTCAAGATTTAAGCTCTCCATCAACTAATATTTTTTATTATTGCAATTGACTAACCTTTTGCTATCAAATGTACCTCACTGGCAGTGCTATAATTTTTTTTGGCTACTACCAAGTTTGTCTACGTCAGTCATGCAGAATGAGATTAATTTCCTTTAAATGTTCACTAAACATTTTCAAATAAAACTCATGATACTATAGTAAAACAAGAAAGATGTTTCAAAGTCATCCTCATGTTGCTGCTGAGGACTAATATTATGTGTCATATATGCTTTATAGCAATAAACTGTACCTTCTCATCTTCTTCTCTCCTAATCCTTTCTTCCTCTTCTTGTCTTTGTTTTTCTTCTTCCAACTGTTTCTTTTCTTCTTCGGTCAGTTGCTTTTCTACTTCTTTGGGAATATCTGAATCACTTTTTTTGGTAGCTATGTCTTCTTTGTGAGGGGTTCTCCTGTCTTCAGACTTTTGTGTACTACTTTTCCCATCTCTATCTGGAGGTTTTCTGAAACAAACATTTTAAATTCATGTAATTAGAATAAAGTAGATCAAAAAATAATATTCAAATGTTTCACAAACATAAAATGATTTAAACTAAAACAAAAGTTTCCAGGTAAAACTGTAACTTTGAAAAAGGAATGTTATTGTTTTTTAATTTGACTGCCAATAACCTAATATTAAATAAATTCATTTGAACCATATTTTAAAACCCATTAGAGTTTCCACTAGTTTTTTTAATTTAGGTGATGATTCTGAGACAATAATAGCAAAGACACCTTTCTCCTCGCCTATCCTTGTCTCCTTTATCTCTTGTTCCAAATTTTGAATCGCCTTCACATCGGTCTCTTCTCTCATATTTGTGATCTCCTCTGTCAGCAAGTTTTGGTCTGTCGAGGCCTCCTCTTCCGCCTCTTGCGCCACATCTACTTTTATCCAGACCTCCTCTATAAGGCCTTTGTTGAGCAGAGCTAAATCTAAAAGTTAAATCCATTGTTTATGAATTTGACAATTCTATATGAATAAGAAAAACAATATTTGTCCTTATAAGACGTTCACAGATGAGCTTTTAATCAACAAATGAAAAAAATTAAAACATTCATATTTTGAACGACAGCCCAGTGATTAACCGACATAAAGATATTGTTAAATTGTAACATTCTATATTATAATATACCTATTGAAGGTATAAAAATAAATTCTTAAACATATATAAAGTAAAATTTATATAAGCTTAACACAAAATTAAATTGCTTTTTTTACCTTTCTTTGTCTTGATCTGTGCTATCCCCATCTCCCTTGTATCTTTCATCTTTCTTTTTCCTTCCACTAAAATCAGATTTTGTACTATCCATTTTGAAGCAGAAGTTTTAGAACTTGTTCATAGATGATTTTGAGAGCAGGGCTCAACTTGAAGGATAAATGTTTGGTTTCATTGCTATTTATAAGAAATTTCCTGTAATGGAAATTTAATTGCATTCATATTACACTGAAAAAATCAAATAATATTTTTAATTGAATTAACCTTCTCAAAATAAACAAGTTTTTTATATAACTGGCAAATATTTTGAAAAGTAAATAACACTTTTTTAATCACAACAAAAAAAACTCCCAAATGTCAAAATTGTTTTATAATTGTAATGTAAGACATTAATGTATGAAGTCACCTGTATAACAGAAGCTTAAACAAGCAAAGGTAAAGAAAATGAATATCAAACACAAAAAGGTGCAAATATAGAGAGCATTCTACAAATATATCACTGGTGGACACCAATAGTATTACTTACACTTGGTTATTGTAATTATATAGTTAAGATGATTATTAGCTTTTATTTTAAATCATGCAGCGAAAATAGCCTAAACCACAGCTAAGGAAATCTCTTAAGTCTATTCAGGTAAATTTTGATAGTGAAAAATAACAAATAATGCCCTGGAAGATACTATCTGATCATTTAACATTTTAAAGTTAGAGATTTTTTTAAAATGTCACATGAATAGCTTAAGACAGCGGTTCTCAACCGGTGGGTCGTGACCCCTTTGGGGGTTATGGGACCCTTTTCCAGGGGTTGTCTAAGACCATCTGAAAACACATATACTTACAGCTATGAAGTAGCAACACAAATAATTGTGTGGCTAGGGGTCGCCATGATACGAGAAACTGTATTAAAGGGTCTGGGCACTAGGAAGGTTGAGAACCACTGGCTTAAGACTTGCTTTGTTGAGAATGACAAAAGCATTGCTAATAAGTTTAATAACTTTTTTATCAGTGATAATATGATAATGATGGCTTTTAACTTAGCTTAGTACTGTTAAGACTTAAGTCTCACAAAATAATAATTTAAAAGAAAACAAATAATTATGATATGACCTGAAGATAAAAAAAGGCCTAGATCTAGATCAGCAAACGTCAACCTTTCAGACCTAACAAACCACTAAATTCATAATTTTAATTACCGCGGACCACTAATATGAATTTTGTTAAAAGATTAATCCATTTGTAAAATAATAATTAGTAAACATCTATTGTTATATATATATATATATATATATCCAAAAAATGAGGTCTTGATAAGGATGATCCATATTTAGCTTTGAGACTGTCGACAAATGATAGATCCATGAGTCTTTCTTTTTCATTCATATTTAAATTGCTTCTTTGTATGGGAATAATGACCAAAATATTCTGTGATTTATTGTAAGTCCTGTTAAACAATGGTAACCCACCTGCCGCTTGACATACTTCACTCTCATATTTTCATCAAAATTTGAAAAAAAATTTCATATCTGCTTCAGGCAACCGTGTTTAGCACAGTAAATTTTCTTTTCAAAAGTACCCATTTTAACTCTTAGTTTGAACAATTCTATTTTGTCCTTGAATCGATATGTTTAGTTCATTTAACAGTGAAAAAATATTTTCCAGATATGCAAGCTTAGCCACCCACTCATCGTCAGAAAAGAGTTAATGAAATTTCAGTTATTTTTCTGCAGGAAAAATAATTTGACATCTTTGCGCAGGGCAAACAGGCAGTTAGTATTTTGCCCCTCGACAGCCATTTCCCATCAAAGTGAAGAAGAAGGTGAGTATATTGAGAACTTATTTCTTCACAAAGTGCCACAAATATTTTAGAATTGAGTGCTTTGTGTCGAATTTCATTTACATTTTAATTACATCTGATAATTTAATAATTCTTCGTGTAATTCGGAGGACATATTTTTTGCGCAAATTGCTCATGATGTATAATGTAGTGTGTAGACAAAATATCTTCCAGATATGCAAGCTTAGCCACCCACTCATCGTCAGAAAAGAGTTAATGAAATTTCAGTTATTTTTCTGCAGGAAAAATAATTTGACATCTTTGCGCAGGGCAAACAGGCAGGTTAGTATTTTGCCCCTCGACAGCCATTTCCCATCAAAGTGAAGAAGAAGGTGAGTATATTGAGAACTTATTTCTTCACAAAGTGCAACAAATATTTTAGAATTGAGAGCTTTGTGTCGAATTTCATTTACATTTTAATTACATCTGATAATTTAATAATTCTTTGTGTAATTCGGAGGACATATTTTTTGCGCAAATTGCTCATGATGTATAATGTAGTGTGTAGACAAAATATCTGGGTGACCAACATTTTTCACCCTTGCAGCAATGCCTGAAAGATGTCCAGTCACATTTGCAGCACTATCTCTACATATATCAATACATTTTTACCATTTAATTCATGTTCCAAGAAATAACTATTAATTCCTTCAAAAATATCAGCACTAGTTCCTGTACTCAGCAAGTCAAGCAAACAAATTAGTTCTTCCAGTAGTAATTTTTTCCAGATTCAAGATCTGCTCTTGAGATTTTGAATAAAGCAGCCTGTATCACCCACTTGGTTTATGCCATCATGGATGATGAAGATAAGATAGAGAAAATTAGAGGTAAGGTAACAGTGCAATGGGTTCCAAGCCATGTAAACATGAAGGGCAATGAAAGAGCAGACACACTGGCAAAACCGGGGCTGCCCAATCCCAAACAGAAACACAAGTCATTTATCTCTGTCTTAAAAACTGGCTAGCAGACCACTTTAGAACAAAGTGGTACAGACAGGCCAATATAACACAACCTAGCAGAACGTAACCCTGGCGGAAAATGGGTCATTGTGACACCATTGTCTGGTGACCCAAATGCCGATGTAACATTGCCCTACTAACTCTGACTTTATCAAGCTAGACAAAAATGGGACCCCACCTGCCGGCATTGCACGCTTGCCACAGAGAAAAAAAGAACACCTCCTAACTCCGTGCCCCAAGCTTGACAGGGTGGCAAGAGAGTAATTCGTTCAGATGTTAAATGGCACAGCCCAACAGGTGGAGCAGGTTGCCACAGTCCTAGCAGCGGCTTTTAAGAGCCTAAGCTCAAGCTTCTTCCAGAATATGAATGTTAGTTTTTCCTGTTACTCTCCTTCACAAAACAAAGGAGAAGTACCTTTGATTAATCAAGTTGAATTGAATAAAAATGGAATATAAAATATTTGGAAAAAGTTTATATTTTTTCTTTTTAAATTTAACTATGAAACAAAAAAAACGCTTTTCCAGTTGCATTGAATTTACTGAGATTTCCTGTAATACTTATAAAAATTGTCACTTAGAATACAAGAATTTCTTAGGATATTTTTTTTAAAGAATTATTTTATACTTATAGACTAGTGACCACACTAAACAAAATGTTTCTGCAAACTATGTAGCCCCACTCTTCTACCAGCTATATACGATTTTTGATGATTTGTGTAAACTAAAATTACATATGACGCACGTGGCCTAGCCATCTGCCACACTGAGCAATTTATATCCAGTGGTTTCCTTTCCTTTATCATAAATCAAAATTTGTCCAATGTTTCATCACCTGTTCACTGTTGGATGTAAACAAGGCTTCATTACCATTTTTAGTTTACCAATAGATAAAAGAATTGTCTGAGGCAGGACCGCAACGATTATTCTTATCTGCCGCCTGCTAATAGCGGTTGGGTTGAGTACCTTCGTACCAACTAATTGTCCTTCAAGATCAAACACTTTAACATTTGTTAGTGTTAAAAAATATGTACTGTATTTTTGCGCATATAAGACACACTTAGTTATAAGACACACCCATATATAAGAAGCAGGTTTTTGACAATTCGTGTATAATGCATGATATTTTAACATAAGACACACTCATATATGACGCACCCTGGGTGCCGGGTACATAAAACTTTGTATAAGACGCGTCTTATATATGTGAAAATACGGTGCACACATTTCTAAGGCCTAGTTAGTAAGATAGATAAGTGATAATAATAAACACATTTCTTTAAATTTAAACATTTAGCCCCCTCAAACACCACTCCCACTTTTTAATTTTGCCAGAGCTGGGTGTGGAGACGACAACAATTTTCCCAAAGCTGAGCTGGAGCTTGGTAAAAAAAAAAAGCCTGCTTATATTTAAGTTCTAAGTAATTTAAGTTTTAAATTTTAAGTATTTTACTTTTAAGTTAAGATTAGGGCTACAAATTACTGAGTTTAACTGAAACAGTAGATAGGCCCTGGCACACTTAAATTTTCATTGATAGATAATTACTGCTGTTACTATTAACTACTACCGATTTCCATATTAATTTTTTATTATAATATAAATTATAATGTCAATAATGTCAATGTATTTACATTGATTGTATAATTGTAGTAAAAATATAAATTTATTTATATTAAATGTCATGTCGCCCATGTAGTATGTAGTAGCAAGCAGTAGCTTAATCCTAAAAAGTATATCATAGTCATGGTGACAACTATCATAGTGTCGTAGTATATGATGAATGATGTCTTAGTAAATTTTAACTTTGATTCTTACTAAAAACTTATTAAGTTAATTCAGTCACACATTCACACATAAATAAAATGATTTTCAGAAGTAGGCCTAGATAGAACTTGGTTACGCTAGTGTAGGACTCCTACCCTACTCCTAATTTAGCCTTCCCTGCTACTATAGTATAGTTTTATTACTATTTTACTATTACGATAACTATCTCTATAACTCTATAATTGATTACTTTTTCGAAAAATAAAAATGCGAGATTTGTAAACATATTTATGAAATATAGACTCAAGACCATATAAATATACAATTACCTGTCATAACATTAAGTTTTTTTACCTAATTGAGTAATATAATGTTGTGAAATCATACTTTACTGAGTAGGATACCTCATAAAACTTTGCAAAGTAGTAACGCAAGTAACGTTATCAACAGTTTTTGGTAGTAATGTCCCTTGTCTACTTGCTTACAAAAAGTGTCCGGCATCAATAGCCTTTGACGAACTGATCTATTTTTGGACCAAAAAAAGTCATAAATAAAACTTTTCTTATACTTAATGGACTTGAATATGAAATTATTGTCATTTCTTAAAATTGAAAAATGTTGCCATATCCTTTTTAAGGCCTACTCCTAAAAATATAGTCTTTAAAATATTTTAATTGTTTTGTTTAAAAAATTGCTTTTCCTTATTTAATCAGCAGTTTTATACCAACCAGATTGGTCTAAGATCTAGGAAAATTAATTTTATTATTTTTTATTCAATAATTAAAATTGTATGTCACCATTCAGATACATAATGTCAGTTAATATTAATATAATTTTATATTTTCTAAAACTAAATTTATTATAATCACTACATTCATCATGGTAACGTTACAGTTTGTGGCAAAGTTAATAAAATGCTTCTTCAAATCAAGCTTTCAAGGCCTTTTTTTTTAATTGAAAAAAATATATTTGTATGAATAGGCAGTAAAATGAAAATTAATTAATTAAAATATAATATAAATTAATAATGTAATTATTTAGCCTTATTTGAATATTTATAAATAAGTATGAAAACTATAAAGATGTTTCCTCACCAGACTTTGGTAATTTCGGTATCCTTTTTTAGTTAATTTCTCTCGCAAAAAAACTGGCAATTTAGGTTTCAAAGAGAAGAAAAGAAAAAAAACGTAAAGGTAGGCTTATTTACGAATGCACTGTAAACATAAAAGTTGTAAAGATAACTTGTAAAAGCACACGCAATGACATTACCTCAATATAGCTGAGTTAAGCAGTTAAAAGTCCTCCAAAGTATAAGCTAGAGAAAACCTACAGAAAATACAGTGGCATATCTTAATTAATAATTAATTCATAAATTTAATTGTAAAATATTTTTTTTTATTTAATATATTTAATATTTATTTATTAAATTAGTATTTAGACTATAATTTAATTAATTTATACAATATTATTATTAAAGTATAGTACTAGCTAGTATAGACTATATACCCTAAGGGGGCGTCCATAAATCAGTAATTACCTCAACAAAATAGGGGAAGGCAAAATGTATACAAGATGAAGGCCAGCGTTTAGGGTTAGATTAGTGGATGTCAACAATCATTTTCTTTTCTAATAAAACTTAATTCTTAAAAATTGACTGATTATTAAATTATTTTTACAAAATTATAAATGTAAATAAGTGCAAATAGTCATAACTTTTAAGCTTTTAACAATATTTATTGTTTAAAGATTTATTTAATGTGTGTCTGTGCAATGCAGATGGCTGGTCAGATGTTAGTACACTCTGTTAGTGCAAGAGAAGTCAAAAGTTGGGCTCTCTTCGCCTGTAGATTCTGTTGCAGGTGTGGAATAAGGTTCAAGTGTCATGTGCAGTCAAGATAAATGATATCGATAGAGTAGGAATACGATATTTTGAGAATTAGGTGAATGTAAAGTGAGTAACAATAACAGATTTGCAAAATCTGTAACATCTGTTTTGCATCAAAAGTCATGTTGAAATAGCAAGTTCAACTGCACCAACAATGCATAAGAAATTAGCACCTGCTCCTCAACAAAAATGGATTCGACTAATGCAAGTAGCTGCCAGGAGACAGAGAGAGTTTATGGCAATTATTGCTCACACTGACAATGCTTCTATTTTAAGTGCTTTACTTTTACTGACAATAATCATATTTATACCACAAACAAAGATATTTAGTCTTTAACAACCTTTCAATTGATTCTGTATTATAAAATTTAAGTGTAAAAAATGTTTTTACTTGTTAAAGCTAAAGATGAAATGTTTTTATTACAATTTTATTGTCATTAAAATAGATCAGCACAAAGTAAAATGTATTTATGTATATAAAATATATAAATTTATTTATAATATAATTCTTTTTTTTTTTTGGGGGGGGGGTGATTAGAAAATGTTGACATAATTAAATAGGGGGGTCATTGAAAGTTTGACANATTGTGAACCGTTTGAAGTTGGGTTGTCAAAAATTTCTTAAAAATTGTTGACGTAATTAATGGACGACCCCTAATAATAAATTAATATAGCCTATGCAATACTTACTGTTACTACTTATAATTATAATTAGTTACATTAGACCTAATTGAATAATGTTAATTTATGATCATAGTATGATGAGTTTGACACATTATGACTATTATTATAATATTAGGCACTATATTTTTTATATTTAATATACAACAAGAGTAGAGTCTATACCAGTGGTTCTCAACCTTCCTAATGCCACGACCGTTTAATACAGTTCCTCATGTTGTGGCGACCCCCCAACCACAAAATTATTTTTGTTGCTACTTCATAATTTTAGAGTATATGTGTTTTCTGATAGTCTTAGGCGACCCCTGTGATCTGGTCGTTTGATCCCAATGGGGTTGCGACCTGCTGGTCTATACTCAATGTAAATATTAATTATTGTAATAATGATATATTAATTAATTATCAATGTTAATAAGTATAGAACAAATCAGTTAAGGAAAACATCTTGTGAAAACAATTTTGTCTCTGATAACGTGCAGTAACTTAAATTTAAGGGTAAGAACATTCACAAACGCTTGTACCTTATCCCACCAGCTCAGTAGACTCAGTAGTGCTTTGGTGCATTTGCAGTTAACATTGTTTGTCCAAGTGCTGTGTTCAAAAACACTACTTTTTGTAATTTTGCACTATTTGTGTTATATTGGGCATTAGCCCTCATTATGGGACATAAAGAGAAAAGTTTTAAATTGTTATTAATAGGAATCATGTTATTGTGGAAGCAAAGAAAAAATTATATTAAAACATGATTATGGCTTTGTGTTTCCAACATATGCATTATGGGGATAGTGATGATACGTTCAATTCTATAGAAAAAAAGGTTATTAAAGGTGGCTGATGTGGCTCAATGAGTGACTGTGAACAAAGCAAATGTCTAAAGTGCCACAGGCAGAGGAAGTAAAAAAAAAAAACTGTTAGTTTGCTTGAATGAAAAGCAGTTGGTTATAGATAATGTTAGCAAGACAATAATTTGTGAAAAGGCTAGTTAGTTGCACAGTGATTTGTTGGCCAAAGTACAAATCTTAATGCCAAAGCTGAAGACTTTAAAACGAGTAGATAAATTTCACTAAAGAATTGGAAATCAGTGTTGTAAGACATGGAGACGGAGAGGCTGCTGATAAAATTCTGTTAATGCGTTTTGGGAATAAATTTTGCTGAGTACAGATGGCCTACTGTTTTATTTATTTTTTAGTTTATGTGTCCATTATGAAGGATTTTTCAGTACAGAAAATCACTTTAAAATGTAAACATACCATATTTCTAAAGCTGGAACAGATTAATGGAATTTACATTGATTTCAATGGGAAAAATTATTTCGGTTATCGAACATTTCAGTTTAAGTTTGTTAACTGAGGTTCCACTGTATATAGGCTCTTCTGTATCAGTTCAGTATAATGTATAGGCCTAGGCCCTAACAATAGTAATGTGTAATGTTATAGTATACTAGCGTCTGAAAAGTGTAGGCCCTATAGTCAATAATAAGATGGTATGTTGTAGGCTTATTTCAACTAACAAAATTTATAATTTTCTCTGTTTCTCACTGATGAAGGAGATGGAAGACAGTTTTATGTTAAAGAGCAGTTTTGACAGCATATCAGAGAAAGACAGCACATCACAAATTCACTACTCACATAAATCAGTAATTCACAGAGAGGAAAAAATCCAATATACAGTGTATAAGTGGTCAAGCTATTCATACAACTACTTACCTGAGTAAGTTGAGACTGTTGTATTGGAAATCCTGTCAACATATTTAAGTTCACTTTTTTTTTTTTAATGCTCACACTGTCTATCTTTAAGTTTACGGACAAATATTCTCCAGTGTTCACTACATGCACACCAATTATTCCTTTACATCCTATTGTCTATTCAGTTCTCAAAGTTCCCTTACGAATCTCCTATGTTCACTGACTGGCCCCCTCTGATAATACTGTTCATAATTATCCTTGTTAATTTTTGCTCTCATGTCATCCAATTCAACAACCACACATCTGGATAAATTTCAGCTCACAACTCCATGAAGCAATTGCATCAATCACACAGAACAGTGATTCTCATTCCTTGACATAATTTAATGTTGTAATTAATAAAAATTTAAGTGCCTGTTCCAATGTCCTAGCTCATTTATAACTTGTACGAATATATACAAATTTCACACTCAAAAACTTTGGCTGGCAGATGCATAAATATTAGTAAATTTAATAATGCAAATGTGGAAAATATAAAATTAAACTCTGATTTTGAAATCTTAATACTAAGTGGAAATTCAAATTAAACCTTTTATTAATGAAATAATAAAATGTATTTAATTACCACCGCTTTAATACAACACACGAAGCAGTTTAAAAAATTTCATTGATTAAGCCGTCATCAAAATATAAAATATTTCTATAAAGGTCAATAACACCATCTTTTTTAAGTCTGTAACTGGTAACTGGTTTAACAATTAATATATTAACATTGCTAATCTAGCTTTACTGTCTCTGTTTTTTTTTTTATACATTAAAATTAATATTGTCTCCATACAGTGATAATTTATTTTGAACTTTTCTTTCAGAAATATTTATTTTGATCGTCCTAGTGATCAGTTATCCAGATGGTCATCTGATTCAAACAACCCTCCTCAGGTATTTGTTTCCCCAACTTATTTTCTCAGAACTTAAATATGTTAACTTGTTTTGATGACTTTTTCAATTATTATTAAAGTGTTTTGCTTTTATAACAATTAATGATAGCTGATATTAATACTTCTATTCTTTTATAAGTCAACAAATTTATAAATTATTACATTTATTTATATATATTGATAAATAAATTTAATCAGTTCAATGGAAAAAAATATAGTCTGATGAAATTAGATACATTAGCTAAATTTCTTTTGATATAACAATTTAAAGTAAAGTTTTTTTTCATTTTATTTTAATCTATGAAAAGCTCAGCCAGTTTAGAAGCAAGGATTTTATTTTATAGTTGCACATCCTTATATATTTTCCTCAGTTTTTGATACTCAAGTTAGAGAAACCAGCAGTTGTTGAGTATATACTTTTTGGCAAATATGAAAAAACTCACGTCTGTAACCTCAGAAAGTTCAAAGTTTATGGTGGTCTCACTGAAGATCATGTGATTGAGTTGCTAGATGGGTTAGTATTTTTTTAAAAATTGTGAAAAATATATTTAATTTATAGTGAGAGTGATTGTGTTTATTATTTTAATTTTGTTTACAAATCTATTTTACCACCTGATGGAACATTTAATAATAAATAGGTTTAAATATATATATTCATTGAAGATTATAATTTTCTAAATGCACATTTTTACAGTGGCTTGAAGAATGATCATATCAGTGAAACGTTCCCCCTTCGTCATGAAATTGAAGGAAACCCATTCCCATGTAGATACATTAAAATAGGTGAAGATTTTTTTTTAAATTCTTGGGATTCAATGTTTTGGTCTACCATTCAAATTGAATGCTAAGTCACTTGATCTCATCAAGGTTATCTATAATTTGAAAATAGAACTGAGTCTAGTAACATTTTCCTTAGTGTTAGTTTAAAAGTCAATATCACTTGAACAATTATGGCAACTGCTTAACACACCTCAGTTGTTTTTTTAATGAATAGTATAATTTGTATTTTTCAAGATTATTTTACACAAAGATATATTTTTTATTTAAAGCTTACTGAGTTGACAAATTTCTCATTTTTTCTTAAAATCTCAAGTACCTCTTCAAGCTTGGGGGCCAAGTTTTAACTTCAGCATATGGTATGTGGAACTAATTGGTAACAACAGGTGGGAGGAAGTGAAACACAGCATGAACTGGTATAACACTGTAAGTTTCATAATTTAATTTCAATCCCTCATTATTTTTAGCTCTGCTTCTTGGAAAAGTAGTTATTATTTTCTTAACTTATCAGTGTAGTTGGTAAGGAAGTAATATGTTTTCGGGTTAACAAATTAATTGCATGATATCTTTTAAGAAGAGTAACAGTGTTACAGTTTTAACTTATGCATTTTAAACGTTACATTTTCAACCACTTATGTGTTTCAGTACAGGGAAAGGGAAGCAATTCGGTTGTGTCTCAAACACTTCAGGCAACGTTGCTACACAGAAGCATACGAGGCATTAAGTAAGAAGACTAACATTGTCTTGGAACATCCAATATTGACACAGTTGCACACATTATTGGTATGTTTACTTGTTCCTTTAAACTAGAAAATGTATTTATAATCAGGTAAACTGTTACATGTTGTGATGGAACCATTTTTCTTAACCTCAGAATTGTAAAATATATATATAAGTAAATAAATATAAGTAAAAAAAAATTACGTAAAACATTTTTACTGAAGAAAAAAAAAATGTGCGTTTCCATTGTATTTTTATTATTATATTTATCTATTGAATAACAATGCAAACACAACACATTACAACCCCCCCCCCCCTTTACACTCACAATTTGTAACTAATACTATGATGAAAGTGAGACCAAGAAAGTTTTTAAAATTATATTAAAGGAATGAATTGCACTTAAAAATTTAATTTTACAGGTATCCAAAGGGGATTTCAAAGCATGTGAAGATCTAGTCAGCCAAGCCTGTAATGGTAACTTAACAATGTTGTAATGAATATGGTTCTTTCATTACTAGCCTTCATTAATTCTTCATTATACAATGCCATTTAAATTTAGCTCTTCATCATTCATGGAGTTTTTCTATTTATGTTTAAATATAAAATATTCTTATCTGTTAACGTTGAGCTTTTTTCAATGTGAACAATTTTTAAATTTAAACTGGGGTTAATTTTTTTCTTAAAAATAAATAGTAAAAATTAATGTTTTCAGAGGGAATGTTTGACCAGTATATCAGTCAACAAGATTACACACCAGACTGGACACCTATTGAACCAGTCAGCAGTAAAAGTAATATAAACTAGTGAATTTATGTATTTAACCACTTCATTACCCATGACGTCACTATCACCCACTTTCAATTACCAAGGACGTCACATCGTCTTCATAACAAAAATTTAAGAACTTTTCTGAAATACCAAAGGATGTCATGTCGACGTCAAATTTCAATGCTATATATTTTCTTATTCATTAATCTATAGAGAAGTTAAAAAGCGAATCGGTTAGAGAATGAAATATATAAAAAATTTCATCTTTTAAGTTTTTGTTGCAGAGTCAGCAAAAATCGATGCCCAAAACCCTGCTGTAACGAAGTGGTTAAGATAAATTACTTAATAAATAAATTTCAAATTATCAATTTTGGTTAGGCCTGCTTACATTTATTGCAATAGACCTTTGATGTGCATAAATTACAATTATTGTCCATTTGGAAATTAAATATGCTATACAAATAAGACTATCAACAATTTTTTTAAAGAAGCTACTCTATTTTAGTTCTGACAATAAAAAAAGATGGATTTATCAATTTACAACCCCAAAAAAAAACAACCAAACTGATGGATTTCTATTTAATCCAAGCAAATTTTCAGAGGATAAGCTCATATTTTTTAAATCTAATTTTTCAGAGTACATCAAATATCTAAAAGATTTGAATAGAGATGGGAATTATTTCTTTAAATAAATTCTGTTCTTTTTTTTATCTTGAAGAGGACCAAGGTTCAGAAACAAGACCTGGTATGAGAGGGGGCCATCAGATGTGCATAGATGTTCTCACAGAGATTATTTACATGTTTGGGGGCTGGGATGGAAACCATGATCTTGCTGATTTGTGGTCCTATCACATACCATCACACACATGGACATGTTTATCTCATGACACAGAAAGAGATGTATATTGCTTTTTATTTATTATTACTCTTTCACTGCATTTCAATGCTAATTAAAAAATTTTCATATGTATAAATAATATATTTTACCAAACTGAAGCTTCAAAATCACAATTTTTAAAAAACATTCTTTTCTGCCTTCTACATTAGACTAACCAAAATGGAAAATTCACACTTTATTTCTTTTTAAAAATAAAAAAGTTGTGAAGTTTATAATTTTTAAAAAGTCTCACTTTGTTAAAATGTTTCACATGTTCTCTCTAAATTAACAGGGTGGTCCATCTGCACGATCTTGTCATAAAATGTGCTTGGATTATGAAAGAAAACAGATTTTTACTCTGGGACGTTACTTAGATCCATCAATGAGAAGTCCAGAAAGATTAAAAGTTAGTGAATATCATAATTTAAAAGGACACAAGTTAAGCATGTTAGAAAAAGGCTTTTTTAAAAATTATTTGTAGCGTTAAATAATTAAATTTAAATAAATGTATTCTATTCCTCCAAACACATTGGACAACAATTTCCTTTTTTGCTGGCATAATTGTTTTATCTATATGCTGCTGTAGGAGGTGTAGTATGTGCCCTGCAAGTTACATACTGCACAGAAAGTGTTTCCAGGCTCTGTGATCTGCTTTATCTTATGATTCCTTTGTTCCTTACTTTATCACAGTAACTGATCACTATTATCTTTTTCATGTCTCACATGAATAATTGGCAGTTGGTAAAACAAAGCTGACTTGCATTTCCTTTCTTTTTTTTTTACTGAATACTAGCCATTTCATCCATTTAGATATAAGATGTGACATTGTAAAATAAAAGAATTCTACTTATTTTCAGTGTGATTTCCACATGTACGATATAGAAAGTCAACAGTGGACATTTATAACAGAAGATACAGCAGCTATGGGAGGCCCTCGGCTCATATTTGATCATCAAATGGTCATTGACATTGAACATCAGACTATTTATGTATTTGGAGGTAGAGTTCTTGTCAGGTACATTTTTAAAATCTAATCTGGTGACCACATTAAGTAAATACATTTATTTATTTAATAATTTTGTAATTCAGCAACCACTTGCATGAGCTTGAAGGCTACTCATTCTGGTTAAAAGCATTTTGATGTTGGCAAGCATCATACACTGGGAACATGAATTAAAAGTATTCCCTAAACCTCTGGTTTAAATTAAATATTTTATCATTAAAATGGAATTTCATTCCTACACTATAGTTAGTTTAGAAATTGAGAAAGTGCAACTAATAATGGCAACACAACGCTTGAGTAAAAACTGTATGCAAAACTTCATTCAGGCTGAGTAAATGTTTAAATCTTATGGTTAATAAGTTATTGAAGCCTCAGTTTGTAGACAAAATGTTTAAATCTTTGTGTTATTATAAAAAAAAAGAAGAAATTACTTTCTTATTTTTCATATTAAAAATCAGTAAAATGGGACAGTTACAATTGCTTTTTAAACTTCAAAAGTAAATTCAAAATTAAAATATATTCTCACTTTCTAGTACTTCAGGAAGTAATGGTGATGACAGAACACCAGAACCTATCTTCAGTGGTCTTTATTCATTTCATATACCTTCCAATACATGGACTTTGCTCAAAGAGGATTGTCCAATGCTTAAATCTCGCATTGGCCATTCAATGCTTTTTCATCCAGTAAGTAAAGAGATAATTAGTTGATTGCATTGTTCTTTTACCATGGCATTAAAATAAGTAGCTTATCAAAGATGTGCTTAAATTTTCATTTAAAAGATTTTCATCTATAATAAAGACACAATTTTAACAAAATTAAATTAAATCTCTCCTACAGGATTCCCATCTACATTAATGATTAATTATTATATATGTTTCAATTAAAATAAATAGATATTAAAATTTGTGCTTAAAAGAATTTTCATTTTTATTAATTAAATAATTTAATTTTTACCCGGTCCAAACAGCTGAAAAATTTTTCCCAATGTGCGTGCACCTTATTACATGGAAAACTCATTGTAAATACTTTTCATGGGGGATTTTGAAAGTGAAAAAGAGAAATCAAAATTTAAATTGAGTTGATGGAATTAGTAAGTTAAATCCATGTAGAGAGGGACTGGTCTGTATAATTACTAAATAGATTCTACTTTCATAGCATATGGTATTCAATACAATTTTATTCCTTCAATCATTATATTTTTTTTTAGGTAAAGCGAGTTTTATACATTTTTGCTGGACAAAGATCAAAGGAATATTTGAATGACTTTCTTTTGTACAATGTTGACACTAAGGCCATTCATGTCATTTCTGATGGCAAGAAAAAGGATGGTTGCCAAGCAGGTATGTAAAAAAACGTGATCACGTCACTCCACTACTCCATTCCCTTCATTGGCTACCTATACAGGCACGCATTGACTACACGTTGTCTGTTCTCTGTCACAACTTTTTCTTAGATTCCTGCCCTTTATATCTAACCGAACTTCTTTCTGTCTATTCACCCCTTTGACAGCTTCGCTCCTCTGCAGACACGCGTATTCTGTCCGTTCCCAAGACACACACTAAAACATATGGTGAACGATCTTTCTCTTTCTGCGCCCTTCAAAACTGCACTAAAAACATATCTTTTTAAATTATACTACCCTGACTGATTCCCCTCCTCTGACCGATAATTGATCTTGCTGGCTTCCGTCCATGGTTTGCCTTGTAAAAGTTATGTGGTGGGGTGGGTGAATATACATTCTGTTCTTTATTTCATAAATGGATTTTATTTTAATGTCATAATTATGTCTCTTTTGATAAAATTTGTATGTACAGCGCGGTGAGCCCAGCCCTAGGCAGGGGTACCGCGCTATATAAGACTTTGGGATTGTATGCTTGTGGTTAGTTTTTGTAGTGTTGCGTTTGTTTTAAATGTGGTTAATTATAGATATGTTTTTTGTTGACTTTGTACCGCGCTTCGAGCCTTTGGGGATGAAGCGTGTTTTTGAAATGAACTTTATTATTATTATTATTATGTATCAAGTGTCAAATATTCATTCACATCCTTTCTGTAATTCAATATGACATTTAATACTTTAAAAAATAATCTATTTAATTTCTTCTGTTTAGGCTTTACACAGAGGGCAACACTTGATCCAGAACTTAATGAAATACATGTCTTTTCAGTAAGTGTGGCTATATGTTATTAATGTATCAGTATTACACTTACAAAGATGAAAAGAATAAAAACTCATCAAATAAATTAAAGTACCGGTATTCTATTGTTAAAACATATTTCATGTGCTTTTTCACAGGGTTTGAGTAAAACATATTTAATGTGCTTTTTCTCAGGGTTTGAGTCGGGATAAAGATAAAAGAGACAACGTAAAAAACTCTTTCTGGGTTTATGATATTCACAAGGACAAATGGTTAGTATGTGCCTTGTAAGTAACCAAAAAAAGTGTAGGTCTTTGCATATGATTTCAATATTTTTGATACACTAGTACTTATACTATGTGATTTAATTAATAACTAGATTTTACATTTGCTCTGGGAAATAAATAGACCATTCAACTGCTAATTTTAAAAGAGACACTTTAAAATGTCTCATTTTATAAGGGGAAAAAATGGATTCACGAAGTTCAACATCTATGCAAGATCAAATTGTAGTTTATTGTATTTTATTTTTGACCTAATAAAATTATAAATATTTTTTTTATTTATAATTATAACAATTTTTTTTATTTAGAGTATTACTTTATAAATTAGAACTGTTTTTTGAATCAACCAAGCCTTAATTAAAACATAAGTTCATTAATGTTTTTATAGAAATCAATATGTTTGTACTTGATAAAATTTGCTTTAAGTATCTATGGATTTAATGTATGTGTCATTATCAGTTCTTAGTTTCCTTCCCAGGTCCTGTATATACAAGAATGAAAATATTGGTCAACAGTATTGGATGAAAATGCAACATGTAGAGCCTGTGCCAAGGTTTGCCCATCAGTTGGTCTATGATCATATTAGAAAGGTTAGTTTTTTGTAACATGTCCCATTTAATTGGTTGTTCCTTAAATAATCAAGTTATTTACAGTTGATTGGAAATTTGTTAATAAAGTAATTCATTTTTTTCCCCAATAGGAACACTTATGGAATGTTTTTAACCCTCAAACAGTGGCATGCATCATTCTGTAGTGAGGAAGCTTTTCAGAGCTTTTTGAGTGCCTTTTAAATTACATTAAATGACAGAAATATTGATACAAGACCCCAATAAGTATATATTTTTAGAAAGGTAAATAGATGGGGATAAAGTTGGCTATATTGCCCACCCCGTGAAAAAATTTTGCTCAGTGTCCTTGACCTTGAAGTACTCTACGAAAAATAAATCAACAAAATGTCTTGCTTTCTTTCAGGTGCTCATAACATCATTAATTTTTATTGATACATTTAAAACACAAATCTAAATTTTGTAGCCAATTCATTTATCTTTCATAAAATGTATAGTTTGCTAAGGTTTTGATTACAATTAATCCTCTGAAAGCAATTTTAGTAATTTTAGGTCATTTATTCAAGAAACTGGGACCACAGCTAAAACCAAGTACAAAATACAAAATTTCAGGCAAAATAGTTATTATTGACTAGTAAACATTTAAAAAGAAACTGTGGAACTGATTTGGGTTGTTTAACTATAAAATTTATTAGTTCTGATCTATAATCTGTAGCTTCTGTGACTAAAATTCAGCCAGTCCTTGCCCAACCTCCAGGCCTTGCTCGAAGTCTAACAGTAGCCTCAGTAGGCCTACTTTAGTATCACTAAGACTAGTATAAGATTAACGAGAAGAATCATCTCAACTGATTTCGTCAGGGGAATGTAATGTTAAAATCATCATTGTATCACTTAAATACTCTCCTAAAACGCTTTCAAAAATATTTATATTATTTCTTGCACTGAAGGCCCAGCTATAGCTTCAACCATGTTGGCTTTTAAAAAAACAGTGACATAAAACACTGATTAAAAGTACTTGTTTTTTAATTATCAAGAAACAGCTTGGCCCGGAAGATGATTTCATTATTAATAAAAGGAAGTGGCTATAATTCTGGTTAAATATTGGATTGGAAGTTGCTATTGGACCGCGTTTTTAATCGGTCGATTTTTTTCGGCCACCACAGCAGAGAACGAGAACACACATCGGCCAACCACAGTTCGAGGGTTAAAAATATTTATTTTTACATTGCAACTTGCCTTATAATTTTTATAAAACCTGAACATGCTGTGTTGTTTTTTTTTAAACTCTTAGACCCACTATTTATTTGGAGGAAATCCAGGAAAAGATTCATTACCAAGACTAAGATTAGATGACTTTTGGTCGTTAAAGGTTAGTTAACCAACTCCTGCCTAACCGACTTTAAGGGGAGGTGTGGGGTGAGAAGTGGGTGAAAATGTCAAGTTTTGATAAAACAATTATTATTGTGTATTTGTTTTCATTAACCATTTCTTAATTAAATTATTATAATTTTTTTTGACAAAAGTAAGTCAGAAAATATAATAAATTACCATTTTCCTGACCCTATCAATCAGCACACAAAAAAAAAAAAATTAATTCCTGTTATGTAGTTCTTTTTCCCCTTTTTAATGATTTTTTTGGAATTGCCCAAATCAATAATTTCAAAAAAATACAGTAACTTTTTGTGACTGTGATTTATAATTAGTTATTATATCAAAAACTCCTGTTACGGTAATCAAAATTTCTTATATGTTAACTAATCTATGTTTTAAATCTGGTGGCAATAACTTGATGTTTGTAAAAGCCTTAGAGTTTTGGAAAACACTAAACAATTTATATTGGCAAAGGTTTTTAGGGGTTACAAAGGAAACCAATGGTATTTTTTATATTTTTTTAAACCTGTTTTGTACCTCCATTATAATACTAAAGAAAGTGTAGGTAAAATAATTTCCCATATGAAGCCAAAAAATTTTTAGATTTTTTCAACTTCACCTCCCCATAACCCACTCATGTCAAACCTACTTATTCTCAATTCCAACCTATTTTTATATAATCTCTCTTATGTGCCCAACCCAAAACTCCATTTGAAAATGTACATGTGCTTTTGTAAAAATAAAAAAAAAATTGGTAGAGCACTGAAGGACGGAGTGGGTTGAAACCAAACTTCTTAACTTGATTTTTCATTAAAACAATCTTAATTATATTTTAATTATAATCTTTTTTACATTGTCATTAGTAACTCTGTTCAAAACAAATGCTTTTAAATTGCAAGTGATAATTATTTAAATATTGAAAGAAAAAAAATTTATTTTAGCTATCTAGGCCTTCTTCTGAATATCTCCTTCGACGATGCCGATTTTTAATCCGCAAGTATCGCTTTTTGGAGATGAGTACTCAAGCTCCGAGACAGGCAATGACCTACTTACAAACAGAATTGGCCAATATGGTTGACCACAGTGATGCTGAGGAGACCAAAGAGGTCAGTTTGCAAATGAATGTTATTACCGTGTTAAAGCTAAAAAGTAATTTAATTTTAATTAAGGAAAAACTTGAATACTGAGTGAAAATTGTGATGTTTTTACTTACTATTTATTTAAACTTAAAAAGCTCTGAAAAGGTAACTTTTTAAGAATATTTTCGTTTGTCTCACACACGTTTTTTTCTCACCTCACTGTAATGCCATAATAATTTAAAGTTAAAGTCTTCATTTTGGTAATGAGAGTGGAAAAATAATGAAAATTTGTCATCTATTATTACATTTATTACAAATTTACAATGGAAAACCCACCTATGTAGTCTGATAATTATGTTCCATATTTACTTATACATTTCTTTAATGTTTCTTTAAATAGTTCCAACTTCTTACCTCGTCTTTGTTTCCCTGCACAAGTCTGGCAGAGGAAACAGACATGGGAGATTTTTCTGAGGAAACCAGCTCTCCACACTTTGCCCAACGGACGCAGCTTTTTGATCTTCTTATAGAATTTTTTCCAGAATCTATGACGCAACCTAAGAAAAACCTAGTTGATCTTATTCCTCTGAGCTAATAAGGAATCATGATACATTTGATGGTTTTACAATAACTTTGGGTTAACCTGCAGTATTAGAATTAGAAGTTTTCAAAATGACGGAACCACAGAAAGTGATTGTTTGAAAGATGTCACGCAACAGTTACATACACGGCTGTTGATTTCCTAGTCACTGATTTTATATTTTACAACTATTTTATATTCTAGGACTGTTATCACTTTTAAATTCACTGGGTTTAGGTCAGGCTGTTTAATCTTTATTCATTCACACTAATCAACTTAGAAAACTGAATATTTTTCATTTATGTGATTCTGTGTTTAAACAAAAACAGCTAAGGATATCAAATTATTTTAGAGTTGTAAATGCATAATATATTTTATCAAATATGGGTATACATGAAAATTGTTTTTGAAAAAAATAGGCTAAAATGAAATGATGTTCATACATTAAAATATTAAATTTATTGGGCCATTCATGATGGATTGATTTCTCGTTTGGACAAATACCGGTACCAGCATATAGAGGATGTTGACTATGATAATTAAAAAAATTTTCCACTTCAGTTTAAGACCGTTGCATCTTTTCCTAAATTAATAATTTGATCAGTAGTCTTAATCTTTCTGCAGCACCGCACCCCTCTTGAATTAAAAAAAAAAATGCAAATAAACCTGATTTACTGGGTCTTCCCACACTCCCTGACACTGCATCCCACATCCAAGGGGATGCTGGCAATCCTTGTCAAGAACCCCTGAAATACAAAACTTGCATACTTTCTCTTGATGCAGACAGCTTAATTCCTCTCACCAGGATAATTTAACTATGGTTAAATATTGTGAATGTATATAGAACTTATTGCTGGGCTCAGTAGTTGAGCAGCTGACTGACATGTGATACAAAATAATATTGCTTTCATGTTATACATTATTAAATCCAGTTTGCTACACAAATAGATATTTCAATATTTTATTGTCTGCAACCTTGAATAACTTAACTTGTTGGTAAAACAATGACATTTGTTTTAGCAGTTAATCTAAAAAAAAATTGTTTTAATTAGTTTCAGGCTTTCAAAGTTTAAAAATATAAATATTACTCTTAAAATAAAATCTTGCCTTAATCATTTTTTTATATTTGAATAATTAAACCCTTTGCTTCTGAAGATGTTAAGTTTTATGAACTTAAAAAATTCTTCACTTCAGCAAATGTCAGAAAAGTCAATTGGGGCTTCATGTATTAAGATTGCATATTTGTTTAAAAACCCAGTGAATTTATGGCTAATAATCTTGAGCAGTAAACAATGTTTTAGAAAGTACCTCTATGGTCAGATTAACTACTTTTTAAAAAAGTGCTGAAAATTTCCAAAAATAATTTATACCCCCATAATTTATTTGTGTTCAGGTTTCAGTCCAATTTCAAACAAATTATTTTTGAGTTAGCCAACCTCCATGCTAGCAAACAGAGACAAAGGATTGTTAATTCATCATGATTAGTTATTTTACTAATTGGGTTGTTAACATATACTGAAAAATCTAAGTGTAATTTTCACTGAGCTATCCGATTGACCCACTTAGAATTCACAGAAGAGATTTTGTGCTTTCCAAAAAATTTTTCCATCATGGTGAGATGCATAAACTACAGCAAAACAAGATTTGACTCTGATACTTAGTGCACCGTACTCTTATGTGGTGTCAAAGGTGTTAATAGTTGATACTGAGTTGATACTGTGCCATGTATTAATTTAATCTTTTTTAACTTGACAATTGCCAACATAATAACGGAACTCAGTCATGCCACTAGATCTTATTTAATCATGTTGTATTAATCATGTTATATTTAATTTCTAATTCAACATCATCACACGAACCACAGAATGGTTATATTTGTAATACTAATTACTAAATTTTATTGTGGTTGTTTTTAGATAGAATCTGTTTTAGAAATGTTTTTTTTTAATAGACTCCTTTACTTTCCAAACTGACTAATTTATAAAAGAAAAGGTTGGTCATTAATTGTTCTTTATATATACTTCTTTTTTAAATCTCATGAACTGAACATTTTTTAATTACTGACCGATGTGTTTATTCAAGAGTTTAAAAGAATAACTATGACTATGTTCTTTTGTTATGTATATATGTGGATTGTTTATTTACTGTCATGTGGTTCTGGGCATGAACTAATAAAAATGAACTAATAAAAATGTCATGCATTATGCATACTTTGTGTAAAATGTCTATTTTTATGACATAGGACAGAGCATCATTAACAATTCTTAAGAAACAGGCAGAATTCATCATCAGGAATAAGAGTAAAAACATTATCTTACGAATGACCTTTTATTTATTGTTAAAATCATTTCTACTGAATTAATGAAAACAAGTTAACAAATAGCTGCACAACATTTATGTAGCTGTCCTCATTGGTGGAGATACCAAAATCACTCCATCACCTCGTACAAACAACATAGCTATTGACCTTTTTGTTGTCTGGGAAGGAAATATATATTCCATCAAAATGTATGTAATATATGATAACACATAAAATGAAAGCAAAACATGTGTAAAATGTAAGTTGATTACAATTTGGCCTGGAAAGACAAATCAGCTCCCAATAAAACAAAATATTATTTTTAATATACATACTGTCTCGCTTAGTTATTTTTTTTAGGTACATATTTTTTATTGACATGGCTTCTTTCCACTATTTTGGATATGTAAAACATGGTGGAAGATGGCTAATTTTTAATCATTATTCTCACACCAACCCTAACAGCATACTCAGAAAATTAAAGTAACACATTTTCATGTAGTAGAAATTTTTACCCATAATTTTATGGTTTATTTATTTTTTGTTTTACCTTAAAAATTTCTTCATATGTTTCTTCATCAATTTCTGAGCTTGTGACTGTTTCTTCAACGTCCCCAAGAATCATATTTAAATGCTGATCATAGGCCTTTAAGAAAGCAAAATGAAATTTTGTATACATGCATGCAAAAGAAATATTGAGGATGAATACTATTACTATTAATAGATTATGATATTTTTTTTAATTGATATTGAAATTTTGACAACAGTGGTGTCAAAAACAGTGTTTCCATTTGGCTGTAAATTCCATAGCATTAGCATACAGCCCTTTTGTTAAATGTCATATTATTTACCCAGATGGTCCTGCACCAAAGAAATTTCATAGCAGCCAGGATCTAAAACCCTGACAGTCTAAGTCTAAATGCCTTATTCTCAAAACTTATAACTTTCTAAGTCTCTGCTATATTTTCTATAGGCTTTTGTTTTATACATTTAAGATTTAAGTGATACATACTCTTTTTCGGTCTGAATGGAATTATTCTTAACAAATATTCTAAAATTGTTACTTACATGCAAACGTCCACGCAGCTCTCTATCTGTCCGCATCTTGACATAAATCCTTTCATCTAAACTGAGACGTACAAGATCAAGGGGTTCCTCAACAGTTTGCACTGGCATTGCCTAATAATTTGAAAACACATTTAAAATAAAAGCAATTGAAAAGGAGTAACTCTACCATGAGAATCTATAACATGATTTTTGCTGTTTATTAGACATTAAACAGTACTTTGTTAAAATACTTTTTTTTTATGAAGGCTGGGTTTCTGAAGCTAAAATACCCCTTATTGTTACTAGGAAAATTAACTGAAATACAAATCTACAAATGGGGGGTTGTCACATTTCGGGAGGGGTTGAAATTATTTTTTAAAAATTCAAAATACAATTTGAAGTAAACCTGAATTTATTTTTGCATCATTCTACACTTGTAATCAGAGAACAACAGAAGAAATGCTTGTGGAAAATTGGGTTCTTTTTTCCTTGTGGTGTTTTAATAAATCCTTTAATTTTATTAGTTAATAAACTATAATTTTTTATTTAAGATTACTTATTCCTATCTATTTTCTTAAATCAGTCAAAAACAGTGGCAGGTAACACATTACAAAAAAATGATGTATAAATATTTCAAATGTGCCTTTATACAAGCTTAAGAGTAAAAATAAGCACTAATTGAATAAAAAATAAGTTGATTTGTGACACATACAAAATCCACAATATTTAATGTGGCAAGCAGCATTAACAATGCACGTTGTCCACGCCTGGATTAAGCTTTGGAGCCTGATTCTATTTCTCGTTATTCGTTAACATGTTAACAAATCTTAGTCTAATAATAACTATCACAAGTTGTATTGGGAGAAAGAAAGAGAAGTGCTGAAACTAACAGAGGATAGTTTTCTCCTTTTTCATAATCACCGTGGTTCAGCCGAAAAAATAATTATATCCCAAAATTACATCATACCAAAAGCTAATTTTGACAGTATTTTTCACTAGAGCAACTACGCTTATTTTAATGTAGCCATATGTATAAAGCAACAATATGAAAATTGTCCCCATCATTACAAAACAAGGCTGTTTTCTGTTTTATAATTTGACATCCCCCCTCCCCCCCCGGCCATGCATGCCCCACAGCCATATGTTTCTAAATCAACACCACTTTCCCCCCTCAGTGCGTACCATATATAATTATTGATGGTCCCAAACCAATTGTATTTCACAGTCTATTCCCTCCCCGCCAGAAGTAGAAAGGATTAAAGTAAAACTAACAACCGATAGTGTTGCTTTCTTTTTTTTTTTAAGTCACAAAAACTACAGAAATACTTTTTTTTCAATCTAGTCCATTAAAAGCGTAGTTCTCACAGGACTCGTCATACAATGGTAAAAGATATCTCAAAACTTCACGTTGTACATCAAAATCGTAAGAGTTACTAGCTTTGCTATGATGCCTTATGTCTTATGTTAACTATAACTATAACTACAGGTGTATAAGTTATAAGTAGCCACTCGTAATAATTAATTATTTAATTAAAAATAGATTGGTCATCTCATTGATTTTATTGTATTTTACCTTTAGAATGACAGCATACGAATAATAAAACGCCTACAACATACAAGATCATGAAATTTTAGACCACTTGTAAGTTGTAAAATATGCTAGGCTAATGCTATTTCAATTCCTGTGCTAAATTTAAAACATAAATATTTAAAAATGAAAATAACACAACAGGATTGCAAAATGTTATGGTCCACTCCATACAGACATCAACTTTTACTAAAAAGGCCATACCAACTGACATTTTGAAAAATTCATCGCTCAATAACCACTAAAGCTTGTTGATGACTGTTGATGTTGGTTTCAGTTTTAAATTTTAAGTGCCGGTATGCTTTAAAAGCTGTGTAATGTATAATTTCATAAGAGCACACACCTAGCATTGTACTGTGGTAACCCTGTACTGTGAGTGTAGTGATTTTTAATCTAAGTTTATGACAAGGCTAATGTCAGTAATGAGTTAAGTTTGAGAAACCTACAAGCCTACCACTACAGTTACAGTCACTACCAGTCTGAATCACAAGCTGACAAGCTGAAGCTCTCAAACGACAAAGGCCCTAGTCCAAACATGTGTTTGTTTTACGAACTATGTTTTTTTCTTTCAGCCAGTATATATATTTACATAACAGGAGGCTAGGATTTCTAAACAGCATGTTCATTTAATATTTAATTACATTTATATATGTATTCGTTTTAAAATTGAGCAAAACGTTTCTACCTGATCTTGATCGTCCGCCATTCTTGTTTACAATTTTAAACATTAATACTTTTTTCATCCAATGATATGTATGCCAGGATGGAAAATTAACAAATGATTTGTTCTCAAACCCTTTCAGTGTGCTTCCAATGATCAGTTAAAATCTTAAAATAATTAAAATTATATTCTTGCTTAATTAAACTGGGGTGTGAAAAAAAAACAATGTTATTACAATTATGGTAACTCATAAAACTAGTTCTACATTTAAACATTTACTTCATCACTTCATCAGTTGGCATCATAATTTAAGGTTATAAATTGGCTGAATCTATAGGTACCCGGGTACTTATAGTTGTCAATAACTATTCGCACCCGGAGTGGCTCCATACAGATCAAATGGCTTCGGAGCTCAGTGTGATAACAATAATACTAATAATAGTATGAGAATTCTTTTTTTTTTTTAAATTGTTTTTCTCCTTGTTATTTCATAGTTTTATTATTTTTAGTTTTGTTTATTTTTGCTTTATTGATTTTTCTTAGGACGGGTAGATTTTTTTTTCTTTCTTATTTTCTTTTTTAGTTTAAGCCATTTTCGTAGATCATTTTTTTTTAAAATCTAGTAATTAAGATGATTTAGATACATTTATTGTTTTCATTTGAATTTTAGAAAAGTAATAATTTAAATTTAATTATTAAAATTAAATCCTTTATTTAAGATTATTTATGTGTAGTGTTTAAGTTAAAAGATTTAATCACACAGTACTTTATAAATTAATTAGGTATTCTAAATAATGAAAATTTCATTCATAATGAATTACTTTCAACTATTCATCTAGAGTGATTGGCTTAGTCAGAACAAAACCACCAATTTTAAACTTTTTCCTTGGCACTGGGAGTCATACATGCGGACACTGACTGTTTTTCATGATATCTCGAATCTCCTTTCAACAACTTTTCTATTTGACTTGACCTAATTCACAAGGTAGTTGCAATGAACATCTTAAAGTTAAAAGATGCCATTGTATAAAGCATAAGAAAGAGACTTATTTTTGGAAGACTCGTCTTTTTTTTTTTACCATAGCTGTCTACTGGGTCTAACACACTGGTACCTAATTTAAAATTTAATAGAAAAACAAAACCTTTTTGACTTGAGAACATTTTTGTTTGGTTGTTAGTTATTTGAGTTGTGTACTCAAGTAATCCATAAAATAAATTAGGGGCCAGTAAGGCAACCAATAAACTAATTCAATTAGGTCACATCATTCCTTTGCCATTAGTCTCCTTTTACTTTCTCACATTCCTTGTTGGTACCCGTACAGTTAACTATTGTTTGTATCATTTCTTCATTTAAGTACAGATGTAATTTTTGAGTGGGAGCAAATAAATGTGATCTGTGAAGAGAGTTTGGTTTCAAGGCAACTAAGTCATGCCACATGGAAAATAAAATACTGATAACCCTAAATAAATAGAGCCATTGAAAAAAATATAGTACATACAAACCATACACAAACAGAAAGACAAAAATCCACTAAAGTTTTTTTTTTTTAAATTTGTTGTGACTTTTATTGCAAAAAATTAAACATTTTATACCAATTTTGACTTTTACGCAAAATGAATAAAGACAAATTTGTATTGCATTATATTGTAACTTATTGTACTGCATTGTAAATGAAACTTGGCATACACATTAAGAATAACATTAATATAAAGTTTAAAGAAGCTTATTACACAGCAGTTATTGGAAATGTTACAAATGGCATGTATGTGGGGGTCACATAATTATTCGAGAACTCTTCAGGAGTAGCAAATGTAAAAATGTTATAAAACTTTTCTAGTTGGCTATACCCGGTATATATAAAAAAAAAAGCCTCTTGAATCTTGTAAAGAATATCAATGAAAAGAAGCATGCAATGTTTGAAGGCTGTAGCTAGAATACTTTTCCTCCCAATTCATTTGGCGTTTCTAAAAAATCCGGAAAATGCAAAATTAAGAAAAATGAAAAAAAAAATAAAATTGTGTTTTTTTAAATTAGAGGTCTGCATGAACGATATAGGATGCATACATCATGTACATATACCATTCATGAATTAAAAAACAATAAGAAAACTAAGACAGAAAAGCTAGAAAAAAAATTAACACACGAACCTAATTTTTTTTTAAATATATAAATAAAAAAATTCTGAAAAATTTTCCTAGAGATATTTGTTTAAAAACCATCCATCATTAAGTAGAGAATGTCAATATAAATAAACATGCAAAGTTTCAATAATGTAGTTCCAAAACTATTCCTCCTGATTCATCAATTGACGTCAGAAAAAAAAATGAAAATGCTATATCGATAAAAGCTGAAAAAGACACTGACAAATGCTTATTAAAAAAATTAAAGTGAAAGGTTACTTGAACAACATAGGATGCATACATCATGAACACATTCCACTCGTTAATTTTTTTTTAAAAAGTTAAGTACATAGATATAATCAGTGGCGTAGCTAGGGTTGGTGTCACCCGGTGCGGTAAACTCATGGTGTCACCCCCCCCCCCAAAAAAAAAAACAACAAAAAAACTACAATGATGGATTTCTACTTGCTAAAATAAATACACTGTATAACAATGACAAGAACAAAATCACATACATCGAAGGTCAGTGGCGTAGTTAGGGTTTGTGTCACCCGGTGCGGTAAACCCATGGTGTCACCCCCCCCCCCAAAAAAAAAAACAACAAAAAAACTACAATGATGGATTTCTACTTGCTAAAATAAATACACTGTATAACAATGACAAGAACAAAATCACATACATCGAAGGTCATGAGGTCAATGTCTTTAAATCTGCAACAACGTTAAGTTATTGTTATTTTTTCATTAAATTTACTTTATTTCAAATTGTCGTTTCCGTGTCTTCAAAGCTGAAAACCTGTCAATCACTTGATCGAAATCAATTTCATTCACTGTATCACTTCCAATTAATAGCAGAGCCGCATCAGAAAGCCTAGTCTTTTCCATGGTGGATCATATATATTTCTTGATAAGCTTAGTTTTGATAAGCTCCGGGCGCAAGAAGCCGCATACACACATATTGTAAGAAAAAAATTAAAAGCTTAGCGAGAGTATTGGAGGAGATCCTAGGAGGTCCCATTCAGCCATGAATTTCAAAACATCAAATACTGACCAGTCCTTGAATTTGTGAAATTCAGTATCAGCTGCCTTTAGATCTCTTCAAAGCTTTGGTATTTCTTTTAAAAATTCATCTTCTAATGACTCATCATAGAAAGAGGTTAATTTTGGAACGGAAACCAATAACTCTTCTTCACTTGCTGATACTAGACTCTTGTGTCAAACAGTACCAAACATATCTGCTACTTCCTTGGTCGCCAATGATCTGATCTGGCCTTCAGAATGAAAACGAACAATACAAGCCAGGATCTCCCTACTGTTTTCTTCTCGCAGAAAGAGTCCAATTAATTGTTCTCCTGCCATTCGCTTCTTTAACCTTATTCTTCTCTCTACCGAAATTCCATATTGGTCTGATTTTAAAAGTGCCTTTTCAATAGCATGTTACACCAAGTGACGGCGCTTCACGTGGAGAAACAATCTTTGGGCCTCTAGGTTTCTCACCACTTTGTCAAGAGTATAGCCTTTAGCCTGCAGATACTGCTGTGTAAGATTAACTTCCTCGAGTAGATCAGCCCAAAGGTAAAGGTAGCATATAAACGTGAAATCACATACCGTATGCTGTACCTTTTGTATCTGAATATTCAAGAGTATTACACAGAGTTTTAATCACCACTGCACATTCATCAAACTCATCTTTCACTGTTTTAACAGCAGCATGATGAGCTCTCCAACTCGTTATTGACAGTCTTTTCACCGACATCCCAGTGGTGTGTTCAATTAGAACATTCCATCGATGAGTGGATGCAGCAAACGAGTACCGAAAAATGTAATACATGAAGCATTTTCTGCAAAAGAGTGTTGACCACACAAGTTAAGTGAATTGCCCACACATATATTAAAAATTGCATTCTTTTAATATTTCTTTTCATAATGGTCTCAACACCTCCATGGATTCCAGACATTGTGGCAGCATTATCGTAACCTTGAGCTCTGAACATCATTATTTCTAGTCTATAAAGTTTTAGATTTTTAAGAATTTCAGAGCTGAGATGCAAGAACACATGTCTCACTTCAACTTTCCCATTGTTGATTTTCACATATCTGATCACTTCGGACATCTGATCACTGTGTGATATTTCAGGTGTACTTTCGAACATAATTTCAAAATACATTGCAGCCTTTAAAGCCATGAAAAGAATCTAATTCACATGATGTGCGAGGACATTTTTATAATCATTTTGGGTTTCTTGTGTAAGGTAAGATGCGGATGCTTTTTCTGTAGATGTACTCGTCTTTAGTCTCATTTGGTGCTCTTTTAGCAATGTGTCATATTTAGATGACATGTCAACCATTTCAAGAAAAATTAAGTAAAGACTCAACTTCGTTGTGGACACGAAAGGCAAGATTTTGTTTTGCAAGAAACAATGTGATATCCAGCAACCTGTGCAGGATATCCCTCCACTTTGACTTCTTCCTGACAATCCCAGCAATACTTTCGGCATCAATTGTTTTGTGTATCCTAAGTCCTGCTGATAGTTGCTCTTCCAATGCCTCATGGTTTTTGTAATTTTGGGCTCAGTTTCCACCACTTATCAAAGCCAGTAACAAATGTGGATGTTGTTTCTGTAACAATAACAGCAAACAATCTGCAGCAAAAACAATACAACAATTTCTGACTGACGAGTGAATAAACCATCCACGACCGCAGTATTTTCTTGCCATTTTGAATCATCCCTTAGATCCATTTATTTTTTTAGCATGCAAACACCTCCTTTAGATTGCGCATTTAGCCTTGTCACTACGCTGAATAGTCCGTCCTTGTTCTGAAACGAGGTGCTTCATATTTTAATAGGTTCAGACCGAAAAAATTTCCCTAAAGGTATATGAGGTACGTATCTAGTGCATCTTTTAAAATGTGCCAGTTTTTGTCATTAGCCATTACACGTACAGTATCGTGGTTTGAATCAAAATTATCACCAAACCATCCATGTCTTTGGATTGGTTACATTTATGAAAAATGTAAATGTGATCGGTTATACTTTTATGAATCTCGGTTGTGTGTGCTCAGATTGCTCTGTAAATATGGAATTTTTCAATTGGGTTTCACCCCTAAAATGGTGTCACCCGGTGCGGTCCGCACCCCCCGCACCCCCCTCGCTACGCCACTGGATATAATT